AAACACACTTTTCCTGAACAGCACATATAGAGGAGCGCCTCCCTGGCAGGAGGGGTTGCAAGATAAGTTTTCCTTCCTCACAAAGTGACATTGTTATGGGATAGACAAGGTTACTGCTGGTTGGTTTTTCATATCTTGCATATATGTTCATTTTATGTCTTGACTGTCAAGAGGAAGGTTGATTAATAATAAATATCTACATATTTATTTACCAGAAGATGGGATTGTCATGGGATTGTGTGTCATCTGCTGAAAAAAATGTCAAGAATTGATCAAATTTGATTTGAAACATTTCTGATTAAAAAACTTTTCTTTCTTTTTTGCCAGGAGAATTTCACTCAACACCAAAATACCATCATCACCAGTATTGTTGTTTTTAAACTGCAGATGTACAGATGATCCTCTAGAGGGCGCCACATCTCTGCCTCCAGACTGGAATTTTATCATTTCAAATTTATCATTTAAAATGATAAATATTTAAAATATAAATGTTTAATATTTTAAATATCATTTTAAATATTTTAAATCATTTTAATATGAAATTATTTCTTAAACAGCTTCCACATTGTGGCCCCATTAATTCAAAATCAGTGTGAAATTGTTCTACTGTACAGATGAAGCACATTCATCTTTATTACATTTGACCCCTATTTTATTTTTTAACTCAAAATTTTTAAAAAATGTTTATAAAATGTATTACCTCAGAGGATCATCACATTTGTTACCTGTAATGTTAAATTACATAAATTCAAAGCCAGGATCTGTTTCATTTCATTTTCACTTCTGACCTGAAATATGTTAAATACAACAAATTAAAGTGTGATATTTCATAACCTTTATTATTTACTCTGAACTGTTTAAATACACATTAAGTGTTTAAAGATGGGCTCTTTCATCTGGTTTGATTGTTTACATTAAATGTTTATTGCAACTGTTGGGAAAATAGCATTAAAATGATATAATGTTTGTATTTCTTTAAAAATAAAAACTTGTAACAAACAAACATCTCTTGTTTGTGGAAAAATACTTTGGTCTTTTCTGGTTTATAATCATTTTGTTCTACATATCCACCTAATAAACTACTGAGCTAAATTATTAAACAGTGCTGAAGCATCAATCACACTTTCACAGAAAATTAGCTGTATATGTTTCAATGTATATAATTGTTTACTTTAATCATATAAAATGTTTATTTAAACATAGAATCTTTCATTACATTTATGTTTATTACCTGAAACATTTTAGACGTCAAGTTTTACCCAGAATGTGATTCATTTCATCTCCTGTTTACATGCAACTTGAAGAGCTTGAATCAAACGTTTCATGAATGTTTACCACGTTAAATCATGAAATGAGAGAAAACAGACACTTCCACATATTTCAGCACAAATGTTTCCTGTTCCTCTTCAGAGTGTGCAGCCTTGCTGAGCTCCTCTCCTGGGGTTTCCTCCTGTGCCTCTCCAACTCGCTCCTCTTCTATTGCCTCCGCTGCTGTTTTATTTACCTCTTCTGGGGCAAATAATGACTGTAACTTGTTGATCCTCCGTGGTTTTGCTGTATCGCCTCTTTAATTGACGCGTGTGGGTCTGATGTTGTGGCGTTGACCTGGCAGTGACCCAGACTCAGCACTGGAACCCAGTCTGGATTGAGCTCATCCATTTCATACGTCGGTTTGCCTTGAAGAGGAGAAACCAGAACACACATCCCTATTAATACTGTACATTTGATAACACTAGTAAAATAGTTTACTACACAATAATGCAATAACCTTGTTGTCCACTGACAAAACTCGCACTATGCTACATAAAATATCAGCCCGACCTAAACAAGGCCGACCCACTTAAATGACCTCAACATGAGTGAACATGAGTAACCCGGATAAAATCAGAGCAAAACATGATGACACAAAACCAACAAAGCAAATTTAGACACTCAGCATGTCTGGAGCGAATTATTATTATTTTTTACATTTTTATTAGTTTTGTGTTTCACAAACATAGGAAATAGAACATTGTACACTGTGTTGTCTATCATCTTACATAAGTATATTATAAGGAAGAGAAACGAAAACAATTCCTCCCTCCCCAACCTCCCAAAAAAATACATAAATAAAAAAATAATAATAATTATAAATAAAAATAAAATAAAAAATAATTTTATATTTTTTAAGGATGAGATTGATGTTTGCCAAATTAAGTGTTGGAGGCAAGTCTCCCCGCCCAAACGAGTGGATAAACATGTCAGTAAGTTGTCCTACCACCAGGTGGCGTCATTTCTTATCAAATTCTGGGCAGAAGCCATCGGGTCCAGGATCTTTTCCGCCCTTAAGGGAGGCGATGGCTTCTCTGACTTCTTCCTGAGAGATTGGAGGCTTCTTGTTGTTCCTCTGTTAGGCGAGGGAGAGTCACTCCATTTAAGAATTTTGTCATTTTAACGTTGGATGAATCGCATTCAGACGAGAACAACCTTTGATAGAATTCCCTCATAATCCTATTAATGTCTGTCGTTTTGTGATGTCTGTCTCGATTATTGTCCTGTAATGATGAAATTGTGTTTGCTTCCCTTCTGCCTTTCGTTAGCCTTGCTAGTAGCCGGCCCGGTTTATTCCCTGATTGATTTAGTCTATGCTTAGCAAAGAAAATGGTTGATTCTGCTTGTTTTGGTAGGAATTGATTTAAAGCTGAGTGATCTGCTTCTAATTTTTTAGAAAGTGGTCTGGAAGGTGTATTTTTGAATTGCAACTCCAGCTGTTGTTGTTAGGATTCAAGTTGGTGTGAGTGCTCCTTCGAATAGACAATCTTCGTGGGAGCGTTCCGGCAGGCTGACGCACCTGAAGCGGATTTCTGAAATCGGCTGCAGGATTCTTAAGAAGCGGTGGAGCAGCCATTCATCGCTCGATGGTCCCACTTGTTGGTCAGAGTCAATCCCAAGGTTTGCCAAGCTTCACGTTGACTAAGGACTAAGTTAATCTTTATTGTTTTTTCTCAGATTTTGGATGCTCTGCCTGGATCCAGCTAAGTTACCACGCCCACCCGAACACTGACACCGATCGCCCCGGACTAAACGCTCTCGTCTGCCGCCTGAGCCCGCAACCTTCTCGGAGCCTTTGCACCAACGGATCCTACCTCCTCCTCGGCAATCCTCCATCAGATGATCTGTAAGCCCTTCCCTCCACTTCCCTGTCAAGATCCTCTCACTCCCGCTCCTACTAACCTCTCCCCTCTCCAAGCAGTACCTGAGCCGCCCAGCCGCTCCCGAAACCAGAGGACAACCTTGGCTCAACATATTCTATAATAACTGTAAATAAATCTTTGAACCAAAAACCTTCCGATGTCTAAACCTGCATGAGGGTAAAGAAACTCAAATCCAGCATGACAGTTGTACTGTTTTTTCTAAGCACAATTGTTCTTTAATGGTGGATTTTTTCAGAGCTGTGGTTTATGATATGACACTTCCCCTAATAAAAGCTTTAGCCGACTCCCAGAGCAACGAGGGGTCAACATCTGGAGTCTTATTAGTATCATAAATAGATTCCACTGATCTGTAATATAGTCAATAAAAGATGGATAGCTCAGTAAAGAGGGATTCATCCTCCAGTGACGAGAAGCAGGATCAGCATAAGGGGGGCTAATACATAGGATAACAGGAGAGTGATCGGAGATCGTACATGTGCTAATTGAACATTTTCTAACTCCATCCAATATCATTCTCGAAGATAAGAAGAAATCAATCCGAGAGAACGTCTGATGGGGTTGAGAAAAGAAAGTGTAATCTCTCTCTCTGGGGTTAGTGACTCTCCAGGTGTCATACAGTTCTAAGTCTTGGCAAAACTCTCGCAATCTCAGAGTTTTTCTTGAGGTTGTAGTGAATCTAGGAGGAGACTGGTCAACACATGGGTCATGAATGCAATTAAAATCCCCCCAGAACAACATATGGTGTATGTACCAATGCAATATTCGACAAACGCTTTGGGAAGAAAGCAGCCTCATATATATTTGGACCATAAATACAACCTATTAAAATGTGTTCTCCATAAAGATAACCTGAGATAAGAACATATCGACCATCACTGTCGCTCATAGTTTTCTCCAATGTAAAGGGAAGACTGCGATGGATAAGTATGGCAACTCCTCTACTCTTAGAGTTATGTGATGAGGAAAACACCTGGCCTACCCAATTCCTCCTCAGTTTAAGGTGCTCATTGTCAGTTAGGTGGGTTTCTGATAATAACGCTATTTTTGTGTTCTCCTTTTTCAAGAATGTTAGGATCTTTTGTCTTTTTATTTAGTTGATAACTTGGGATGTTGGAGATGGTGATATCAGGACGTCTCACCGCTGATACCGGGACACTCGTGTTTCCAGGCAGGAAAACAGTGAAACCAAAGTCTGTTTTCCATCTTTTTACCGTTTCAGTCGTGTGATCAGACATTACATCCAATAACGCAGCAAGTTCCAACCATCGCTCAATAATTTGAACTAACCTGGATTCAAAAATGTAAAATGTCTGTGAGAGTGGTTTAATCGGTTATGCATGTGGCCCCACAAGATGGCGCTCACATCCCTGAGTCTCGATCAGTGACGTCACGTTCCAGAGCTCTAATAACAGTTTGACTCTCCTTCACTTAAAACTTCAACTAGCAACCAGTCAGTCGGCTTTAATAGAGAGTAATGTCTGTGTCGCTGTTTGCCAGCTTTGGTGGAGGAGAATCATCAGGTATCAATAGTGGGAATTTCTTCTACTGTAGGAGATTTTATTGTTATTCACCTTATTATGATTTATTTTATTGTTGTTTTCATTTACAGTATTTGGATTTAAAGTTTCAGTTTGGAAAAAAAATGTCACAGAATTGATCAAATTTTGTCGAAACATTTCTGATTAAAAAACTTTTTGCCAGGATTTCACTCAACACCAAAAACTACCATCATCAATGAAGGGAAAACACATTCTTACATCAGCAGCCAGTGTGAAACTGCAGATGTACAGAAAATCCTCTAGAGGGCGCCACATCTCTGCCTCCAGACTGGAATTCAAACAGGAAGTCTTGGAAAAAATGAGCAGGAAACAGTTGAGAGAAAAACTGATTGAGTAAACACCCTGAGGATGAACTCTGACACCTGCCTTCGTCTCCGACTGAAATCAAACTGAACAAGGAGAACAGAGAGAGAACTGAGCAACTAGACACTGGAACACACACTGCTGCAGGAGGAACAACAAGCAGATCAAAGTGAAAGTAAGTTCAGAAAGTTTCTACAGGAGAGAAACTGACTTCCTGGTTTGACGTTCTGTCTGCTGTGGTTTCAGCTTCACTCTGAGACAAAATGGCTTCCAGATCAGACAATGATCTCTGCTGTCCGGTCTGTCTGGAGATATTTAAGGATCCGGTTCTTCTGTCATGCAGCCACAGCTTCTGTAAGGAGTGTCTGCAGAAATACTGGAGAAGAGGAACTGGTCGCTCATGTCCAGTTTGTCGGAAAAGATCAGCATCAGATGCTCCACCCTGTAATCTGGCTCTGAAGAATCTGTGTGAGACTTTCTTACAGCAGAGAGAGCAGAGAGCTTCAGAGGATCTCTGCAGTCTGCACTCTGCGAAAGTCAAACTCTTCTGTCTGAACCATCAGCAGCCAGTGTGTCTCGTCTGCAGAGATTCAGAAAAACACACCAAGCACAGATTCAGACCCATTGATGAAGCTGCTCAGCAACACAAGAAGAAGCTTCAGGAAACTCTGGAGCCTTTAAAGAAGAAGCTGGAGCTCAGGAAGAAAGTTCAGGAGGAGTTTGATCAGACAGCAGAACACCTGAAGGTCCAGGCCCGACACACAGAGGCAGATTAGGGAGCAGTTTAAGCAGCTTCATCAGTTTCTAGCAGAGGAAGAGGAGGCCAGGCTGGCTGCACTGAGGGAGGAAGAGGAGCAGAGAGGGATGATGAAGGAGAAGATGGAGGCTCTGAGCAGAGAGATAGCAGCTCTTCAGACACAGTCAGAGCCACAGAGGAGGAGCTGAGAGCTGAAGACGTCTCATTCCTGCACAACTACAAGGCTGCAGTGGAAAGAGTCCAGCGCTGCCCCCTGCTGGAGGATCCACAGCTGCCCTCAGGAGCTCTGATAGACCAGGCCAAACATCTGGGCAACCTGGCCTTCAACATCTGGAGCAACATGGAGACCATGGTGACCTACACTCCTCTGGTTCTGGACCCAAACACGGCTGGTAAAGAACTCCATCTGTCTGAAGATCTGACCAGTTTGACTGCAGGAGGGAAACAGCAGCTTCCTGATAATCCAGAGAGATTTAATTATTACTGGTCTGTTCTGAGTTCTGATGTTTTAACTCAGGGAACCACAGCTGGGATGTTGATGTTGGAGACAGTAAATACTGGAGACTTGGAGTGTTAGAAGAATCTGTTCAGAGGAAGGGAATCATAGAGTCTGGATTGTTCTTAATAGAGTTCTATGAAGGTGAATATTCAGCATTTTCTCCATCAGCTCCTTCCACTCGTCTCTCAGTCCAGAAGAATCTCCAGAGGATCAGAGTGAATCTGGACTGGGACAGAGGAAAGCTGTCCTTCTCTGATCTGGATACTAACACACATACACACCTTCACACACACCTTCACTCACAAGATGTTTCCATATTTCCACACTAATGAAACCTTAAAGATGGAACCGATGAAGATCTCAGTGATCAAGCAGCAGCTCTGATGATCCAAATCAAAACTTATTGATCAGATTGAAACTGTGAGTTTTAAAGAGGAAACTGGAGATGATCTGATCATCTGGAGACTCTTCATCTCTGACTTTCCAACTATTGATTCCATGACAGCAGAAATTAATGTCAACATGTTTAATTAATGCGTCTATTTTTAGCTGCTGAGTGATAAAACTGAACTACTGAATGAATCTGAAATGACCTTTTCACTTCCTGCTAAGTGTTTATTAGTGTTGCTTTGACTATTCCCCTGATCAATGCTGTGTTTATACTTTCTATCATCACTTTTATGATGCAGTAAATACCAGAAAATCCTGTGATAATAATCCAAGTCCATGTTGTCCATGGTTAATCCCAGCAGATTTTAATCTGGTCTAGAGACTTTCTGTTCAGTTCAGTTCCAAACACTTTGGTTCATCAGAGCTTCATAATCCAGATTATCATCCAGTTTGTTACCATAAAGGTTTCAGATAAACTGTACATGATGTTTGTGAAGCAGCAGAAACTGAATCTTGTTGCAGTGTTGGAGCTATTCTCTGTTATTTTTAGTTAAAGTTTAGAGTGTAGATTATTTAGTGTATTTTGTTTGTTTTTCTAGTTGATTTATAATCAGAGTGTTCATTTTGTTTTCTAAATAATTCACTTAAGTAGTTAATTGATTTCAGTTTGGGAAGTGGGTGTGTTTCACAGTATAAATATGTAGGGTTTAGATAAGTCTTGAGTTACTTTGGTGGTCATATGGTTTTTTACCTGTCTGTCATCAGTCAGTTTTATCAATGAGAACAGGTGCAGGAGTTAGGGCAGGTTTATCTGTTGCTTCAGTGATTTCTTCTATGAAGTCAGTTTCAGCTGGTGATGTTGATCGATTTGCTATGAATCCATTGAAAAATTATTCCTGGTTCCTTCTTTATTATTTTTTTATTTTTTGCATTATTGTTGCACCTTTGTGTTTCAGACATCAAAGTGATTTAATTAGCTGCTACTTTTATCTTCTGCTTCATATCAGAAATCTGATTGTTGTTACCACACATCTCCACCAGGTGGAGCTGTTTCACATCTTATCAGGTCTCTGATGTTTAACTGTTATATTTTATGCTTATAAGTAGTTCTGTGTTGTTGTTTTTGTTGTTTTTTTTTTTGTTGTTTTTTTTTTTGTTTGTTTTTTTGTTTTTTTTTTAAATGGGGATTTCTAAAAAAAGAAATAAAAAAAAACATTTGTGGATTTAAAAAACTGTAGCCAGGATTAAATTATCAAGATCCAGTTTTCAAAATATTTCCATGTCACATTTATTAAACTGGAATTAAAGTTCTGTTTTAATGTTTGACTCACAAAAGGCGCAGGAGTTTGTATTTGTATTAAAGTACTTTTTTAAAAAGTCATTGAAAGATTCAACTTCACACATAATTTTAAAATGTTTTTTCTATATATATGTTTTGTGGGTTTAAAAATGTAAAAAATGTTTAACTTTTGGAAATTTTAAGTTTCAAATGTCTAAAGTTTGCAACTTGTAAACTAAGAAACATCATTTTGTTTTCTAGAAAAATAGATATTTGGTGGAAAGTAACTGTTCTTCTGTATACAATGTCCTTCACACACTATTGTATATAACTATTAATAATATGCGATACTTTTATAATAATATTCAGGCAATACATTAAGCCAATGTGATTTTTTTTTTTTTTTTTTTTTTTTTTTGTCAGCTTAAAAGCATTTTTTGACTTTACAAAACATTAAAAAAATAACTTTAGGATTGGTTTTATAAAGTCAGTTACATCTTCAGCATCAATCAGGCCAACCAGGAAGTGTCCCACCGCAGCAGCCAATCAGAATCCAGTTCTTGTTGCCGGGCAGAGCAGATGATCAGAGCTGAACTCTGATTGGCTGTTCTGTCTTCCTTTCAGTGCTTCCTGACCAGATGATGTCCCTGCGTCCATATGGTGGACCTTTGTGACTCCTGTCAACTTCTAAAGCTGCGATCCCTCCCCCCTCCCCCTCCTGTTGCTGAATGGGGAGTGAACGCCATGCTGTCCTGCCTAAGCGTGCCTTTTGTTGCGCCTCCTCCGCTCACTCTGGGCTCCAGACTTTGTTTTGGGTGAAAGGATCCGTCTCAAATGTCCTGGTCAGCCTGCAGCAGCAGCAGCTGCTCCAGGACGGCGCCATTATTCCCCACAAAGGAGAGGCGACGCGCCCCTCCCACACTGCTTTCTGCTCTTTGTGTCCATTCATGAGGCTGCCTGCAGCTTTTTCTGAGACTTTTATTTTTGGAGAGTTGCACAAACAAAGAATATCATAAAACTGCCTCAAAGCAGCTCTCCTGTTTGGAGTTATGGTGCAATTTATTCTCTGAAGAATTAGAAAAAAGTTAGGATTGGGGTGTTGGGGCCACTGAGGAAATAAACATGAAATTACGAGAATAAACTATTAAGAGAAAATAGTCGTATAACGTAACATAACTTCTGTTTTAGCATATCTTCCTCCATTGTAGCTTTTGTTGCAATTAAAATTTAAGCACAATAAATAAAACTTTTCCATCAATATTAAGGAATTTACTTAAAACAATTTATTTTCTTATTTCAACTTAATTCAAGATATTTGCACTAGAAACTGGACTAAAAGGTCTGTTTTTGCAGTGTACTATAAACTTCAAAGATACAAGTAAAAGTCCTAAAATTTGACTTCTGCTTTGAAAAAATGACATTTTTGCATGAATTGCTGGAGCAGTGAAAGTGCCAGTTGTTCCACTCTGACCCTCCCGGCTGAGTGCAGTCGGGTTTGTTAATGTAATTAGTGACCAGGTTCATTATGAGAGCCGGGAATCAGCAGCTGCTGGCGGAGGAGCCGGTTTGTGTCGACACACGTCTGGAATGAGAGCAGGAGACATTAGCATAGCTAGCAGACAGTAAATATCTGAAAGGCTGTTTTTCTGCACTGTAATTCATCTGAAACAGACGTGCAAAAGCATTCACATTCAAACTGTTACACAGGATGCATAGAGGTTTTTGTGTAAGTAAATCCATTCTACGGTAGCCCAGAAGTGTCAACAAAAAGCCACAACTGGAGGTATGCTAAAATAGTTCTGATGCTAAAACGGAAGCTATGCTAAGTTAACTTGCTAGCATAACTTCCATTGCTATGTTTGCTGTTGTGATGTTGCACAGAATTTCAGAAACATGCAATAGAAAACTTGTTTGGGCTGCAACACAGATGCATTTTGGTGTTTTTTTTTCTAAAATTGCTAATGATTTATGACATAAACAAAATGTTTGTGGATGAAGCATGATAAACATACGAATGCAAAGGAGAGTAAAGGTCAGATCCTGTCCAGTTTGAGTTTCTGTTTGGTGTTTTTTAGATGTTTCGGTCCAGCAGAGACTCCCGTAGCCCATCGTTTCCATCTGCTGCTGGTTCTTTGTGTTGAGCAGCAGCAGCTAAAGGCTAAAGGTCAAAGGCCATTACAGGTTGATCAGAGTTCAGGAGGAGCAGCTTTGTCTCGAGGTTAAACAGGAATCTGTAGCTGAACGCTAAGCGCTCCCTCCCAGATGTCAAGCTCCTGTTACACAATCAGATTAGAAAAGAGGAACTGTCCCTTTAAGTGTGCAGCTTAGTGAGGTGATGTAACGCTGACTTCATGTTTCTGCTGACTTGCTGTTAGCCAGGATTAGGCTCTGAATGCATGAACGGCAGCCGGCTGGTGCCCGGCACACGGCCGCCTCCACGCTTTTCACCGCGTCACGAAACTGGTCGATTTAAAGGACTCATTTAAAGGACTGTTTCCCCTTTTAAAATGAACAGATTCTCATTTATTTGCAACGTAGTTCTGATTAGTGCATTGGTGTCTTACAGCCGTAGTAGATCTGAAGCATGATGGGTAAAAAAACTAGAATCAACTAGAAAAAACAAAATGATAAAGAAAAAACACTTAAAATGTGAAACTAAAGCAGCAGGAAAAAGTTTATAACCACAAAAACAGATTAAAATAATTCAATTTAACTTAGTTGTAAAAAAAGAAGAGCCGGTGAGCAAATCAAAGTTTTATTGAATCACACAAAACAACAATAGAGAATAAACAACTTTAACACATTTTTGAGTAAAACTGAAGTTGCATTCTCCATTTTTCATGTCGTTTTGAATTCATGAGTTTTAGATCAAAAGTTTCATTTTCTTCAGAATTTTATTCACCAAATTTCTTTACTTCAAATGAATTTTAAACCATTTTGTGAACCTTTTTAAAGACAATATTTTAGAGAAACATTGTTTCTATCACAGTTTAAACATGAAACTTTTACAGAATTAAAAATATTCCGAACTGGATCAAAATAAGGCAGAATAACAAGTAATTGTCTCTAATTTGCAATCACCTAATATTTAATTTTTTCCTGGTTGAATTGTTTAAAATTAACATTTTATAATTTACATCAGAATTGCAGGAACTTTTTCGTACAAATTTTATTCAATGACTGTTTAAATGTTTTCATCAATAATTTAATTTAGTCATTTTCTAAAGTGAAACCTTTAGATTAGACTTCTCAAGATTAATTTTTGTCATCGTTAAACTTCTAAAGTGAAACCTTTAGAGAATTAAGACAATTCTGGAAAGTGGGAAACATTTGCGCCGACTGCAACTGCTGCCATGTTGCTCAGCCGAAGACGAACATCTGAAAAGTCTCTTTCCAAGATGGCCGCTTCTTCCTCTGCACCGCTTCTTCTCCTGCTGCGCGTGCTTCTCCGTGGCGACGTTCCGCTCCGCGGGAACCGCGGGTCGCAGAACTCGCCTCTTCTCCTCCCTCTCCAAACCTCATCCGCACAAAGAATGAGGGTCGACGGTGAGCCGCCCCCCGCCGCGTGCCCGGCCTCGTTCGCAGAAAGAACCAGGCTCATCTTGGCACGGGGGCCCAGGTGGGCCCGGGGGGCTGCGGCGCCCGGGCCTGCCGGCTCCTCAGGAGCGCCCGGGAATAGAACCGGAACCGTCCCGGTCGGGACGAGGATCTCCAGGTGTGAAGGGATCAGGCGGAGAGCCGGGTCAGCGCTCGGGGAGGCTGATCTCAGGAACCCAGTCGTTCAGCCGCCGGCTCTCCTCGCAGAACAGCTGCAGCTTCTCCAGAGCCGGGTCCTCCCAAGACCCGTCGGCCGGGTTCTGTTGGAGCCACAGGAGGAGCGTTAGCAGGGAAACTGAGCTGAGCAGGGCCGGAGCCACGACTCTCACAACGGGGCCAGAAATCAAGCAACAAATGGACTATAATGCCATGAGGATCATAATTTTACATGTTTGGAAAACAAACGTAAACAATCAAACATGGATAGAAATTTAAAAAAATATATTTTGGACTAATAATTTTTCTAAGTTGAAGACAAAAGGTAAGTTTATTAAAATGTCTCCAACCCAGTCTCTTTTTTCAGTGTAAAAATGAAACATATTCTGTAGTTGCAGCTCATTTTCTCCTGTGTTATTATGAGTCAGAGCATTGCAGCCCCCCGGAGCCCACCCCGTCGTTCCGCCCCTGCTCGTACCGTGATGAGGACGCAGTGCGCGTCTTCCTGCTTGTCTCCCACGATGGCGGCCAGACGCTGCGTGTCGCTGACTCTGACGATGCTGATGTCGTTGTCGAAGCAGAAGGACTGGATGAGGGTGAAGTGGATCTGCAGGGCCACGTCCCACTGGAACTGCTCGTCCGTGGCCAGGACGCAGAACGACACGCTGTCCGGGTCTCTGTGGACGCAAAACGCTCTTCCTGTTAGCAGCTGCTGAGACAAACTCACACATGAAAGCATGAAAAAGCAAAACGTTTTCTCACTCTGTCATGATCTTTGCACTTTCATAGACGCCAACAGTGAGGCGGTGTTCGCTCTGAGCGCAGACCAGAACTTCCTGCAAGGACTTTCCAGGAGACTTCATGGTTTGTTGAGCTCAGAACGTGAAGAGGAAATAATTTGTGCTTCCTAAAAGAGTCTGTGGGCTTTTATACGGCGGAGCCGGCACGCGTTCATCGCCTGATTGGTTCCCTTCAGGACAAAAGCAACAAGCTGCTGCGACCCCTCCCCGCCCTGAGGGACGCCTGCCTTTAGAAAACTCAGAAAATCACTTGCCTCGTGTCCAAAAGGGTTTAGATAAAAACGAAGTTATTCATGCAGCTGAAGCTCCGACATGATCAATCTAACAAGAAAAAAAACTTTCTCCAGCTTTTATGGAAACAAACTGAATATCTCTGGATCTAAAGAACAATCCAGTCAGTTATTACAGCCTGAACCTGCAGACACACATAGAGACGATTGTAAAGTCAGTCTTCTATCACCTGATTGTTGGAATACAAAACAAAATATTTAGTTTTCTCACTTCTTTTTAAATAACTTTTCATTCTTTTGTTTCTGACATTTAACAAAAAAGAGTGAAAAATGGTGAAAACTCTTCTTTTTATCAAAGTTGAGTTTGAAGCCATAACTTTTCTTAACTTTGACAAATATATATACTATATATATATATAAACTAGCGATCAGGCCTGAAACTTGTGCTGAACTCTGACCTGAACCTTCAGAGTCACATAAAGACATTTACAAAGTCGGCCTTCTATCTCCAGACTGATGTCTCGGTGAGATCCAGAGAAACTCGTCTGAGAGTTCATCTCCAGTCAATCCGTGTCTAACATCAATCCGGCTGCACCGGATCCAGAATGCAGCAGCTGCTGGCCTGACTAAAACCAGGAAGCTGGAGCCCAGAGACGACCCGAAACTGGTTCTGTTCAGTAATTTATAAACTAACTGCATATTAAAGATCTGCTGTTGGATCCAGACCTCCCAGATCTTCTGGTTCTGGTATAAAAGGAACCAGAACCGAACACGGAGAAGCAGCATTCAGCTTCTATGCACCACAAATCTGGAACAAACTAAATCTGGACTAAACCTGATATTGATCTGATATTGATACATAAGAACTGAATCAATGATCTGATGTGAAACATTTCTATTATATTTAGTGTTTATGATGTGAATCTATTTGAAATGTTTGACACAAATGAACTGATTTATTGTGGGTGTATCTCTATGATCAGCGCCCCCTGCTGGTGGAGGCGTTTTCAGCTTCAAATAAAGTGATGACAGTTTCCACGGTAACATCTCCGTGGGTCTTTCCACAGCGTGTTTTCTCCCTGTGAGGATCAGGAAGTGCCACGCGCCGCTGCTCAGTCCGGGCGCGTGGCATCTGTGGGCGGCTGGTCACGTGCTCTGACCTGCCTTTATCAGCGCCGTGGAGGGTCACCATCTGTCCACGAGTGGGGGGGCGGCGGACAAAGCAGCACCTGCTGGTCCAACAACCCGCAGCCGCAGCAAAAGCTGCGGCGCCGCAACTCCAGCAGATCAGAGGCGCAAACGGAACAAAAGCTGCGGTTGGATGTGCACGCGCCTCCAGAACCGATCAGCATATCACAAAGTTTATTCATATTTAGCAATAAAAACCTTTTCAGGAGAAAGTGAAGCAGTTTGGCTGAATATGGGCGCCACACTTGGGGCGCCAAGCAAAGGCGGAAAATAACATTTTATATCTTTTAGTTTCACAAAAATGCGAATAAACATGTTTATGCATGTTTGCATGTTGAGTTTTATGCCACTAAAGTGGCGACAATAATTAATTTTTGTTATATCTGTTGTACCTGCAGCAGATCTGACATGTTTCACCTCAGACTGAAGCGGATCCAGGCGGTTCGGTTCGTTTGGACTTTCAACTTCATCAGACAACAGGCTGCAGAATTTGCAGGATCGCAGACAAAGCGGGCCGAACCGCCGCAGGCTCTGCGGGTCAAACCGCGACCCCCTCCGCTCATAGCGACAGTTCTCCATCTGCCGCAGAACAATGGCGCTGAATCCATCAGCGCCAACCTGTGCGCCCCTCCGCAGCTATTCATGCGGCAGCAGGCGAGATGCGGGTTTCACTGAATGGATGCAAATTAGAAGAGGGGCAGAATTTGCGCTATTGGTGCCCAAACTGGCGTGAAAGTGAAATCAGGATAAAGTGCATCTTGAAATTCAGTTTATTGAGAAAATGGATCTTTACTCTGAAATCCTGAAGGATCCAGTTTCACTTGATTTTTTTTTTACTGAAGTTTGATTTAAAGTTTGGATCCTTAAAGCAAATTAAAACAAAACCTGATGATGTGGATTAACAGCTGATGAGCCACGCGCAGTTTGCTCAGTTCTGGCACGCGCTGCGCATTTCCATTTGTATGGAGGCGATAAGAGGAGGAGGGGGGTAATGGGGGTAATGAGGGGTAGGGGGGGGGGTAATAAAAGTTGGGGCTTCTGTGGAAACAATGCTGCTGGTTTTACGGTCCACAGATGGTCCGGTCCACCTGCGCCGCGGCGTGGGGGCGGGGCTTCCCACTTCCGGCTGCATCTGAGCAACAAACGCGTGAAACCAGGAGATGCTGCAACTGCAACCAGCAAAACAGCAACAGCTTAAAAGTGACAGAAAATGTTTTATTTTTGTGAATTTTATAAATGCATCACAAGATTTCTGCAAACACTAACACTTTAATCTGCTCACATTCTGCACAAACTTCATATTTTCCTTGTGTTTGACGTCATCGATGCAAAGATTTGGTTGGTTTTTCGGACAGCAGTTTTCACATGAATTGGTTTTATTTGTGGTTTTTTTCAGTGCATGAAGTGGGAAAGTGAAGCTGCTTTAAAACTTGAAACCTAAATATTTTCCTTTTGTTCCGCGCAGGAGGGGAGCGCGTGACCCCATCAATCTGCCACGAGCCAAAGTGTGACAAAAGCATTAGCACATCAATGCGCCTTTCAGCCGCAGCCAATCAGCTCGCGCCGCTTTCTCTGCGCCACGAGCTGCGGGTCTATAAGAGCCGCTGCGTGGAGCCGCTGCGCTCCAAACGCTCTTCCTCCTCCCGGAATATCCTCATCCTCACCGCCTGCAACATGACCTTTGAAGAGGTTCTGATCCAGAAGCCCGCAGAGCGCGCTCAGTGCGCAGGCGCAGCTGGAGGAAGTTCTGGTCTCGGCTAAAGAGAACCAGTGTCTCACCGTGGGAGTTTATGAAAGCGCAAAAGTCATGAACCTGTAAGTCTGGAGACCCGCTGAGGCTCGGTTCGGTTCGGTTCCCGACCCGGTCTGACCCGGTTTTTTCTTTGCGTCCACAGAGACCCGGACAGCGTGTCGTTCTGCGTCCTGGCCACGGACGAGCAGTTCCAGTGGGACGTGGCCCTGCAGATCCACTTCACCCTCATCCAGTCCTTCTGCTTCGACAACGACATCAGCATCGTCAGAGTCAGCGACACGCAGCGTCTGGCCGCCATCGTGGGAGACAAGCAGGAAGACGCGCACTGCGTCCTCATCACGGTACGAGCAGGGGCGGAACGACGGGGTGGGCTCCGGGGGGCTGCAATGCTCTGACTCATAATAAAACAGGAGAAAATGAGCTGCAACTACAGAATATGTTTCATTTTTACACTGAAAAAAGAGACTGGGTTGGAGACATTTTAATAAACTTACCTTTTGTCTTCAACTTAGAAAAATTATTAGTCCAAAATATATTTTTTAAATTTCTATCCATGTTTGATTGTTTACATTTGTTTTCCAAACATGTAAAATTATGATCCTCATGGCATTATAGTCCATTTGTTGCTTGATTTCTGGCCCCGTTGTGAGAGTCGTGGCTCTGGCCCTGCTCAGCTCAGTTTCCCTGCTAACGCTCCTCCTGTGGCTCCAACAGAACCCGGCCGACGGGTCTTGGGAGGACCCGGCTCTGGAGAAGCTGCAGCTGTTCTGCGAGGAGAGCCGGCGGCTGAACGACTGGGTTCCTGAGATCAGCCTCCCCGAGCGCTGACCCGGCTCTCCGCCTGATCCCTTCACACCTGGAGATCCTCGTCCCGACCGGGACGGTTCCGGTTCTATTCCCGGGCGCTCCTGAGGAGCCGGCAGGCCCGGGCGCCGCCGCCCCCTGTGGCCCCCCGCGGGTCCCCGTGCCAAGATGAGCCTGGTTCTTTCTGCGAACGAGGCCGGGCACGCGGCGGGGGGCGGCTCACCGTCGACCCTCATTCTTTGTGCGGATGAGGTTTGGAGAGGGAGGAGAAGAGGCGAGTTCTGCGACCCGCGGTTCCCGCGGAGCGGAACGTCGCCACGGAGAAGCACGCGCAGCAGGAGAAGAAGCGGTGCTGAGGAAGAAGCGGCCATCTTGGAAAGAGACTTTTCAGATGTTCGTCTTCGGCTGAGCAACATGGCAGCAGTTGCAGTCGGCGCAAATGTTTCCCACTTTCCAGAATTGTCTTAATTCTCTAAAGGTTTCACTTTAGAAGTTTAACGATGACAAAAATTAATTGAGAAGTCTAATCTAAAGGTTTCACTTTAGAAAATGACAAATTAAATTATTGATGAAAACATTAATAAAAAAATAATGAATTCTGATGTAAATGAAAATATAATTTGAAACAATTTAACCAGGATAAAATGAGATTGTAGCTGTTTTTGATTAGTTTAATGTTTTTAGTTAATTTCATTCTGAAGACTAGAAAAGAAATATTTGGAACAAAATGTTTTTATACCTGCAATTCTGATGTAAATTAATTAATCTGAAGTTATTTAAGCTGCATTTTTGCTTATTTTGACTTAAAATGCAAAGCTTATAAATTTTTTTTTTTGCGTAGTTAAACCTTTAAAGCTTCTGATTTCACTTATTGGACAATTAGCTTGACTACACTGTAAAAATACCTGACATGTTTTAAACTTGTTAGAAATGATAGTTCTGTCAGTGAAAATACTGAATAAAATCCTTGAAGCTGAATTTCTGGTTTTCATTTTCGCTGCTGGATGAATGAAGCTTCGTTCTTCACGGATCAGCGCCTTCATCTGCATCTCTATGCGGCTCCACACAATAGCCGCTCCGCACAGAGGGCCCTTTGTCTGGGCCGCAGATGTCTCCGGGCCGCGCCGCGCCATCTGCCGCTCGGGGTCGGCGGGGTCAGGTGGGCGGACCCAGAGGGGAGAAAGCCACACCAGGAGGGAGGGTCGGCCAGCTGCTGGCGTTTACCAAACTTTCACCAACTGTGTGACAGTAAACAGCTCAGACGCTTGGGGCCCTCAGGGGCCCCTGCTCCCACCAGTCAGGCTGGAAAAACACAGAATGAAGCTTCAAGTTTTGCTGGATATTCCTCATTTTCATGACGCCACATTATAAAAGAAAATTCCCAAGTTTGATAAGTTGATTTGGAAATTATCAACCTGTTTTTTTTTTCTAGAAATAAACTTTTGCATCATATCAAAAGGTCCATAGGAGGGAAAAAAATCCTCTCAGTTTGGAAACATTTGCAAGATACTCAGGAGTTTTATAGGAAATAAAAAGTTAAGGTTTCACAAATTTCCAAACGTTTATTTCTTGAAACCAATTGAAATGTTTGAAACTTAGAAATGTTCAGATAGATCTCAGAAATTGACTTTTTTTTTTTTTTACACAACCTCACAGCTGGTCAGCATTTTAGCCGAACTGCTACTTTCTGATGGTACGATTAGACAACAGATTAAATGCGGAGCAGCAATAGCAAAGGAGGCAGATTAGCAAAGCGCGCTAACAACTGACGATGTCCTTCAAGCTGTTTTTATGGGAACGTCAGGAAATTCAAGCAAAACAAAAAAAACACCTTTCACCTCAGTCATTTTATTTCTCGTTTTTCAGGCACTTTCATATGAATAACAGAAAAGTTTCCAGCGCTGAACTCGGAGTGTAAAACGTGAGTCTGTGAAGTTGAAGCTGCTAAAGGGGAGATGATGAAAGTTTCCTTCGTCCATTTGGGTCTCAAATAAAAACAAACCAGAACAATAAAACACTCAGCCGTTTTTTGGCAATTCTTTTCTTGGCGTCTAGAAAGACATGATTGGTCCAGGCAATGGGCTGTGCAGGAGGCTCCACTTCTGCTTTTCAAAGCTGTGCTGTTGTGCATCTGTTTGCAGACATATCCAGGTAAACGTTGAGGTGGGGCTGAGTCTGGATTTAAAGACTAAACTCTGGTTTTTCAGAATGATGTGATTGGGCCACAGGCCGACCCGTCGCGGTCCGTTATGACAGCACACAGAACTTGGAGGTGTGCCTGAGGCCCCTGTAGGCCCGCAGCCCCTCCCTCTTGGGGTCCCTCACCATGCCGCGGACCACAGGCGGCGAGTCGCAGCCCCACCTCTTCTGCGTGCGGTGCAGCAGGATGCGGTAGACGCCGGTGACGGGGCTGCGGCTGTCCGTCAGCTGGTGGTTTCTCAGGTGTTCGGCGGTGAAGCCCAGTTCCTCCAGGGCGCTGCGCACCTCCTCCTCCACCTCCTCGTCCTCCGGGTTCCCGCGCTCCGACTCCAGCAGGCTCTGCAGCGGGCCGGGCGGCTCCGGCGGCGCCAGCGCCCAGGGGAACTCCACGGGCAGCAGCCAATCGCAGCCCAGCATCTGGTCGACGGCGTAGCGCTCGGCGGCGACCGGCTTCAGGATGCCCCTGATGAGCCGCTGGCAGGGGCCCGGCACCCAGGGCGGGACGGCGTAGCTGGCCTCCATGATGCAGCGCCGCAGCTTGCCCATGGTGTCGGCCCGGAACGGCATGCTGCCGGTGACCATGAAGAACAGCAGGACCCCCATGGCCCAGACGTCCACCGGCGGGCCCAGGTAGCTGTCGTCCCGGAACAGCTCCGGGGCGGCGTACGGCGGCGAGCCGCAGAACGTGTCCAGCGCGCTGCCGCGGCTCGCCACGCGCGTGCTGAAGCCGAAGTCGGCCACTTTGACGCAGCCGGCGGAGGTGAACAGAACGTTCTCGGCTTTCAGGTCGCGGTGGATGATGTTCAAGTTGTGCTGGAGGGGAAAAGACCGACGGGTCAGAACTGGTTGGACGATAAAATCTCCAGAATAAACAATAATCACTGCTTTTATGTTTTGCTCTGAAGATTCGGCCACCATGTATTTGACGGCAGAGAGGATCTGGGCGAAGGTGATCTTGCTGGCGTTGTCGCTCAGCTTCCCCTCGGTGCAGATCCGGTTGTGCAGATCCCCTCCTCCGGCGTACTCCAGCACCAGGAAGAGGCGGCTGGGCGTCTCCACCACCTCGTACAGCCGGATCACGTTGGGGTGCTGCAGGCTCTCCATGCTGCTGATCTCCCTGGACAGCAGCCGCTGGGCCTGGGCGTCCAGCCGCGTCCGGTCCAGGATCTTCAGAGCCACTTTGTCTGTGAGCAGAAATGTAAACTTTCAAGATGGCCGCCATGGTTGTCATTAAAAATTACTTTTCTGCTCTAAAATTGATAAATAGATGAATGTGTTTCGTAAGCTACATGTTTTCAACAATAAAATCAGAAATTTTTTCTTCATCTTGTTTTGTTTACTGGTGGACATTTTTCAAAATGGCTGCCATGGTTTTAATGCACAACATGGTTTTAATGCACAACACAGTAGCTATCGCCAGTGGTGAACACAGCTAACCGGAGAGGTAGCTTCACTAACTAACTGTTTAACCCTATACTCTGAGCTAGCTAGCTAATGCTAACCACATACAAAATCTTTGTGAAAGCTAACGCTAAACAGCTGCGCACATAAAAGTTAGCAGAAGCTAATTCTAACCATTAAGTCGACTGTCACATGATGTTTAAACTTATTCCCAAAGTTGAAAATTATTAATATGCAGCAAAATCAGAAAAACTGATTATGAAGAAAGAAACAAACTGACAAAATTCATCTAAAATATTCAATCTGGGAACATTTCAAGGGAAGAATTGGTTAGAAATGGCAGCCATCTTGAAGTTCAAGAGGCTAACGTACAATATGAAGATGCTAATAGCTAATGTATCCAAGCTCTGCAGTGATGAGTGGGATCACCAGGTGAGGTTCTGATGGTACCTTTGGTCAGGGCGTGGAACGCCAGCTTGACCCTGGAGAACGTCCCGTAGCCGATCTCCCCTCTGACCTTGTAGAAGCCCACCCTGCGGCCGATGATCAGCTCCTTGACGGTCTTCTCGTCTTTGCACATGGCCGCCGTTAGCTTCTGCAGCGGCGTGAGGCGCAGCGAGTCGTCGGGCCGCTCGTCCTCATGGCCGCCGTCAGAGCTGTCCGTCAGGCTGTACAGGCTGTGGCTCAGCCTGGTGCGGGTCAGCTGGTACTGGCTTCCAGGCATCGCTGCCAAACACACACACAGGAGGAGTCAACGACCCCAGAGCCGTGCAAAAGTCTTAAACCACACATTTATTTTACTTCAAAACAGCCTGAAAGTTTTATTAAAACATAAAATGACTTGTGTTTTCCTGTCAATCAGATCTTAATTGACTAAAAAATGATTTGAACATCCCATCCACCAATGGTGATGAGCTCATCACCAATGAGCTCAGCTTTTTGGTCCTTAGTTGCCGATTGTTGCTAAAATGCATCAAACCCAAAATTAGAAATAACTTTTGGAATATTGATGTTGTTTATTTTAATATAGAATATGTGGAAGAAAGCAATAAAATATATATTTTATTGCACCATCTAGTTCTCATTTACTGATTTTAATCAGAACTCTATGTAATTCACTCTCCGACCACTAGGTGGCATCAACGCACTTCTAATATAATCCCAGAGGAAAATGTATCAACCACTAAAGAGAGTATTTACACACCATCTTGGATGTATTCATAACAGAATGGGTATGATGCCAATTAGCATCACCAGTCCATAAAGGAACAGTTTGTAGCGTCTTTATTTCTGGATTCAGATCCATTAATAATCTCACACTGGCTTCTATTAGGACAAGTTTCTGCAACCAGATTAAAAATAAAGATCTCACCAGCTGTCCAAAACGCCCGTCTTCTTCAGAACATGGCCGCGGACGTAGTCCTCTCCCAACAGTCCGTTCCAGACGGACCCAGAGAACCAGAACCTGCCGACATGCTGAGGTCAGAGCATCGCCGCCTCCACCTGCTTCCTCTGCAACAGAGAGCTGCAGACTGTTGACTCAACACGCGGCAGACAGGTGAGGAGGAGGAGGCTGAGACGACCCACAGGCCACGCCTCCTCACCGCTCCAGAACAGGACGGCGGCCAAGATGGTGTCCATGATCGCTAATCCTGTTTGAGCTCAACTCTGACCCGCCACATTTGAACCGAAACACACAAAAGCTTCTGGTTCTGCCTGAGTTTCATGTTTTTAAATCATCATAAGGTGGGATATTCATCCAGTCGGAGGTCAGGCGTGTGGCAGGAAACGGTTTCACTCCCTGGAAGCTCGGGAAGATGAACCGTTATGCAACGGCATTAGCCGATGTTCTGGTGGAGATTAGACCAGAGTCCAGTTTGGAGCGCGGCTGCAGAGCAGAGATAAACAGATTAGAAGATCAGAACCTCAATCCAGGTGAGAACACCTGAGCAGCAACGTGGCTCATCGTTCAGCTGGTCAGATTGAAAAATGGACACATTCTGCATATTTACATTCAAATGCTGAAAGAAAAGATACAATTACAGATTAATTGCTACGCAGCAAAAGGTGATAAATAATTTCTTTCTTTTTTTAATCAAATTTGAACCAGGTGAAGCCAAACAGCCACTGCAGGAGTTTTAATTAAAACATTTTTACACACAACTTCTTCTGTAAAAATTGTTTTTTTATCTTAAATGCATAATGTGTAATTTGTGTATTTTTAAGAGTTTTGACTGAATTATTGTGTTGAATTTGCTGGTTTCCAGTAAATTATTCTTTTCAGAGCCTGATTCTCTAATTTATTAAACGATTAATCATTAACTAGTTGATTAAGATGATATTTCTCCTGATTGACACCATCAGCTCTGCTGATCCACCTCATTTGCTTTTGCAGCTCCTCTTTAAATCTCTACCACGGTTGGGCAGTGTTGGAGTCGGGGGTCATAGTTCAGATATTATTAGTAAAAACAATACATGGTTGCCACTGTAACATGTCTAAACAACCAGCTCACATTAGACCCAAACTAATTTCTGCTCCAGTAGTTTTCATATCGCTAAATACTGAGGAAGTTTTTCCTGCTGCAGGTGGGTGCACTTAGTGTTCCCAGATATAAAGGGTATTAATCAGGAAGCCTTTCTCAGCTTTCCAACATGAAACCAAAACCAAACTCTGACATATTGAAGCTGAGTTAATGAATTTACAGAAAGCAGTCAACTGATTTATTTCTCTGAATGGAAACAGGTTCAAGCTGCAGGAACAGATTAGCGTTTCATTCACTGCTGCAGCCTGATGGGATTAGAGCCTGAGACGCCGGGCAGCGTGGGCCTCAACGTGCTTCCAGATGGAGGAAAAGGCCAAGAAAATGCAGCAACGGCAACCAGAACACGAATTTAAACTTTCTGAATACAAATTTAAACTTTCTGAACACAACGAGTCAAACTAGAACTTCCTCCTCTTCACATAGCTGCTGCTGGCGCCGCCGCTAACGGCGCGCTGGCTCTCCTCCAGCTGCTTGATTCTCTGACGTAGAGCCGCAATCTCTTTATTCTTCTCCTCCTGGAAAAACTGCAGCTTCTGATCAAACACGCACACACACACACACACACACACACACACACACACACACACACACACACACACACTGCTAAGATCTGGGTCGATCCATCAGAACCGGTTTATTTCTGCACCTGAGGTTCTGGCTCACCCGCTTGAAGACGCTCTGGGGAAGAAGGTTGGATCCCTGAAGCTGCTGCTGCTGCTGGCTCCTCTGAGCTGAACTTTGAACCCGAGCTAACTTCGCACCAAACTGTTGGAAAACACGAGCAGTTTGAGCTCAAAACTGTTTCAGCTCCTCCATGAATCGATCAGTTCAGTTTAACAATCTACTTCAAACTGGCACTGAAACGGTTAAATCAACTAAATCAATTAATCACCATTATTGGATTAACCAGGATTCAATAAACTGAGCTCACGTTTGCTGGAGGAACAGCTCACAAAGAGCTGCAATTAAGACAAAACTCTACAAAAAAAATAAACTTTCTGCATTTAAAATATTTTTAATTCTTTGTCTGCAACCTGAGGAGTTATGAGAGGAAAATATTTAGTTTTATCTTCACCTGGTTCAACGATGGTTTAAACAAAATCTCCTCTAAAGCATCTTTTGCTGTCATTATTATTACTATTTCCCAGTTTTCCTCAGCATAATATAAATAAACAAAAGAATACGATAAAATAAAAAAAACAATAACAGGGCGGTGTAAATGTTTCATGTATGCGACTAAAATTATAATTTATAGAAAGTCACAAATTCAGTTCATCATTTAACTCAGATCTTTTCAAATTATTAATTTGAAAATAAAATGTTTATTTTCTGATTTACAGAGATTCAGTTATTTATTATAATGCATTTATAACAGAATAAAAAAAACTTGAGTGATTAAATGAAAAATCTGCAAAATACGCCTATTTTTTTATCCAATTAATTGATTAATTGATTAGTGAATCATGTTTCTAAACACGAGCCTCCTGCAGTCCCTGTGGGTGTCAGCAGGGGGCGCAACGAACCATAAACCTGACCATAAACTCTGAATATGAGGAACTATAAACAATTACATTTGTTTCAGTTCAGAGAAAATAAATACTCTTTAAATTAAATGATAATCAGCAGCTGTACCACAGGAACCGTTAAAGCGATGGTTTGTAGAAGCATCATTTCTTTTCCTGACCTCCATCTGGATCTTGAGCAGCTCGCTCTGCCGCTCCCTCTCTTGCTCCTTCATCCTCATCTTCATCTCCTCCAGCTCCAGATGTTTCTCCTCCAGCTGCCGCCGAACATCAGCGTCTTTAGCTTCCACTGGAAACAAACCAGACAGAAACCTGAAAACTGACAGCAAGAACAAACTGACGGGTTTCTGCATGGCAGACGAAACACAAACAACAAAAACTAAAATAAACTGCAATAAAAAACAGAATAAAACCTATAAACAGTGAAAGTTAATGAGTAAGTCTTCAGCCTTACTCTGCCTCTTCGCCTGTTTCTGCGCCTCCTCTACCTCTCTGCTGCTCTGCTGTCGGACGGCCTCTAGCGCCCTCTGGTGTCCGTCCTCATCTGCTGCCATCTGGCGGAGCAGCTGCTGGACGTCGGAGCGGCCGGCCTGCAGGGCAGCACAACAAACCACACAAACTGAGATTAACGTATCATTTACATGGAAAAGCTGCATTAGTTAAAATGAGGATCATTTATATTCAGGCTTTTATTTAAATCAGATGCTGAACACCAGAGAATCCGTCTGTTTCTGTTTTCACCTGGGCTGTTCTTTCATTCTCTTCCTTCAGATTCTCCACCTCCTTCCTCAGCTTCTCGTTTTCCACTGAAACGTCAAGAAAAACTCAATTAAATGACAAAAAGTTTGTCCCCTGAAACTTTAAAAAGACTCACATTCACAGATTATTTAATAAAAATAAAATCCCATCAGACACACTCAGATATTTCCTTTCATATTTCAGGCTTTTAATTATATTTTTTCAATGAAGATAAAAATAATCAACTTTAAGGATGTTTAAAAAATGTTTGTTTTTCGTGGATTTCCACTGATCCACACATGGAAACTTAAACTGTTTCATTTGAATTATATCAGGTCATTCAAACTGGTAGTTACAGAAAGCTTGAACTTTGACCTTTTTCTCAGTTTGGTGCTAAAGATGTTTCATCTTTAACAAGATCGACTCTTTTTTTGAAAAGCTAAAATTAAGGAAGTTATTTGGAGTTTTGCAATTTTAATCAAATGTTGACAGAAAGACGGCTGATGATGGAAAAACTCCCACTAATATTAGTTAAATGTTTCTTATGAAGCTTCTTGTATAAGACAGAAGTGCAGCAAATGTCAAACACGGTGGTGGCAGCATTATGTCGAGGGCTTTTTTTGTATTAACTTTACTACTGCACAAACTGGAAGTGTTGAAATAAATCATTAAATCACGTCCAGGAGACTGAACATCTTTTCTTGAAGCGTCTGTTGGGTTTTCTGGTGTTGTAACTCTGCCCACCAGCAGGTGGCGCCGTTACCTCTGAGGTCACATTGCTCCTGCAGCGTCTGATGCAGCCGGTCCACCGACACCAGGAGGCTCTGCTTCTCTGCAAGCAGCATTAGAGGTCAACCTGCTGCAAACATTTACCTCACAGAATCACTTCAGTAAGAAAATTCCACCTGACAATTATTTTTAAGATAATAAAAACAGCAAACTGATATAATGGAGTAAAAAAAGGAAAATAAAAAGCTAAAATACAGTATAAATATGCTATTACTACCAAAGTAAGATTTTAAAAAATCATGAGAATGAGTTGATGTTATTACTCAAGAAGAGTTGTAATAATATGAGAATAAAGTTTAAATAATGAGAATAAAGTCCTAGTATTTTCAGAAAAATGTGGACTATTAGCAGAATGAAGTCCTACATGAAAAATGGCAAATTATTAAAATGGGGATTGTTGAGCAATTTGTGCAGTTACACTGATATTAGTTTTACAAATTAGATAATATTTTAACACATCAGCATCAAATTATTATAGAAGGACCTTTAAATGATTCTGCAAAATGATTTTTTTTAATTAACAGTCTAAACAAGCTGATCATGGCATATTCTAATTTGATCAGTACTCTCATTACTGATCATATTAATGAGAGTAAAGCCATTTTATGACATATTCATTATTATTATTATCGTCATAAAATTATGACATGGTTCTCATAATTTAAAGAAAACCTCTAATTCAGCCCTAATATGGAAACAGTGAACTGTTATGACTGCAAAGCGCCACTAGAGGGAGACAAAATCACCACTTCGACCACAAACAAACAAATAAGTAAACTAAAATACTCACCATCTATTAGGCTCCGCTCCTTATTTATGTAAAAATTCACCAGCCTGTTGGAGTCCTCCAACCTGAGCTCCAGAAGGTTTTTTGCACCATTCAGCTCTGTAATTTTCTGTCAGAGACAATAAAGAGGAAATGCTGCGTTCAATTTCAAACAAACGATCCTGGAAAACAGATTCAGTTTCAGTTCAAAAGTTGCAGTTTGTAATGCTTCTTGTAATTTGATCAGACAAATGCTAAATTGATCATTTATATTCATGTATAACTCAAATTGGATTATCTTTTTAAAAAAACTAACATTAAGAAAAGTCCAATATGGATTCAACTATTTTACACTGAACAGAAAAACTGAGTAAACTTTTACTCAACTTGCTAAGTTATACTATGATTAGTAAGATGCAGTTTTTATTTGTATTTTCATACATATCACAGCCAAAGTAGATAGAAATAAATAAAAGGAGTTGTTTTCTGCAACAAAAAAAATTTGTTTGAAAAATCAAAAATTTGTCAAAAAATTAAAAATTTGTTTTAATCTCAGAATTTTTTTAAGGGGGAGAGAAATTTCAGTTTTAAAAGTCACACATTTGCTAGAAAAATCTGAATATTTCCGAGAAAACCTTTTCCACAAGAATGTCAGTACAAGTTTAATAAATTCTAAACCGAACTGGACCGCAGACCCAGTTCGCCCAGTCCGAGTAAATATAGTGTCGAATATTATGGTGGCTTTAAAGTGTAACTAAAACGATACATTTTCAAATTAAAGCATGACAAGGCACAATATCAAACCTAAAACTGAAAAAGTGGTTTTATTCAACGTTAAAAGCGAGGAAAAGCTATTTTTGAGTCCAACGTCATCACTCGGTTAGCTAGTTCGGACTAACCAAGCAAAGCTAAGCTAAGCTAACATCACGTACCTGTTCCAATCGACCGAATTCCGCATAAATCCCTCCAGTTTCACACAGTTTAACTTTGTCATCCCGTTGGTCTAAAAAGAAACCAAAACAAACGTTTAAATTGTGGTTTTGGTTTTATGGTTTCTGTCTGTATTTGTCACCGACCCTAAGCTAGCTAGCTAACAGCTGACGGAACGAGCTGCCGCCATTTTGAAAACGGCGAGAACTTCAGTAGTAGAGAGTCAATATTACCAGGCCATATTTATAAATAAAAAAATATATTATTGACCTCCTCTATCACCAGGTTCCTTTATTGACAGTCCAAGAAAAGTATAAAGAAGTCAGTTTTAGTTTTAATTGTTTAAAGTCTAAAATATTCCTGACCATGTTCAGTGTTACCATGTAAACCAAACTGTGATCATTTGTTCTAAGATCATATTACATTATTACCACTAAAATTAATACAAATACATTTAAATTATAAAACTGTTTTTAAATTGCTCATATTGAATCTTAATTTAAAAATTACTCTTTGAGGAGTTTTAACCCTGACCTCAAAATCCAAAATGGCCACCTTGCTGAAGCCAGTATCAGATTAAGACAAGAAGACAGCAACTTCAGTTGTTGAAATGTTGTTTAATGTGTAACTTTATAAAATTGCATATGATTTTTACATTTATTATGACCCATATTATTGGAGGAAAAGAATCTATTTACCTTTATAGATGCTGACAAAGAGACGGATCCACAAATGTCTGGAAAGTTTTCCAGTGACTATCCAAGCATTCACTTCAGGAAAAAAAACAGCATGCAAGGAAAATTACAATTAAATTCATTTTATCAGTCCACTTCCTTGAACATGTGCTAAATGTTTCCTCCAGTTTTCCAGTAATTGCTCATCATTCAGGTAACTTCTTACAGAAAACTAAACAGACTTAATACATGTAGCTGAATTATTGTTAAAAGAAATACAACCTTCTATTTCTGACATTAAATGAAACTAACTTTATATTTTTAAAGGGCCAGTTGTGAAAGAATGTGCTAACAAAACTAACAAACTGTTAAAATATGAAGTATCTTTTCACTCAATGAGAACGTCTTAAAGTTAAATATAAAATATATTTTCACCTTGACTTAATTTGGCTGAATACTGAGAAACTTGCTGATTTGACTGATAAAATAATAGTTAAGGACACTTGAATATAAAAGGGCCACATTAAAACTTCTGACGGGCCGGATTTGGCCCCTGAGCCTCGAGTTTGACACCTGGAAGAATTCTCAAACCACAAACGACTTAAAACAGGAAGTTTAGTTAATGTCAGACAGCGCGAAGAAAAAATACAAGTGCACTTTTACAAAAGATGTAAACATTTGGTTTACAACTCTGAAGTCATTTATGAATACAAATTACTCAAATACAAAGGCAAAAAATACACCAAAAATTAAAAACTTTAAAAAGTATTTCACAGTTTTAAATGACAAGAGAAAATTTAATGAAAATAAAAGGATAACAATTTACAGTCCAGCTGATGTTGTAATCCAGAAAAGCAGATTTATTTACCTCTTCTGTGGACTTCATATATGAAACAACATCAATATTATCAAAATATGTGACAGTGAAACATGATAAAAATATTAAACACATAAAAAAGTAAATGCATGACCCTTTTGTTTATCATTTCACAGATTATGAAAAAAAAAAAAAAAAGACAGTTGAATAAGTGAGGATGAGCTCGACGAGATTAAGAATCTGGGTGATTAATACTGGAAAAAGACTGAATTATGACAAGAGAGTCGAGTTATTTCTATTATTACAGAGCACCTGGATTTTCAGAACTTGATACAATATTGACCTTTTTTGACTGGATTCTTTCACAATCTAGATTATTTATGAGATTCCAAACCTGCTTTTTAAGACAGTGAAGCTTCACAGCGATGAATATAGAGGGTGTGCTAACGTTATTCCACCAGAACAGACGAATCTCATCATTTCAGGCTCACTTCATTTGTTCTAAATCATCTATTAATGAGGCAAAAATGGCATTTTTCAGTGGTGGGCATGCTAATGCTAAACTGCTAACCCGCTAATAGCAAAGCTAATTTTGTCAGTTAGCACTTTTGTAAATTTGAAAACATTTAGCGCACTCAGCTTCCATTAAATACATTTTCCTCAATCAAGTCTAAAGAGCTAATTTGGCTGTTTAAAAACCGAAACGTCTAACTACTTCACCGCTTGAACTATTTAGATGATTATATTCATGCTCTTATTTTGAAAGGGGTAAAAACTTAACATTTGAAGTTAGCGTCTTAGCACTTTAGCATTAGCACCACTTAGCTTAAAAAAGCTAAGTGTTGCAGCAGTTTACTGTTAGTTATTCTAAAAAACTAAATTTACTGTTGGCTTCTGCTAAATGAGATAGCGCTTTAGCATTAGCAGAACTAATGTTTGTGATTAGCGCTTTAAAGTTAATCATACCTTTCTAACTACCTTGTTAGCTAGCTAACAATTGCCCACCACTGGTAGTTGTTCCCTTTGATTTCCCATCTGCAGAATTGATTTCCGGATCTTCCCTGTAGCATCTTCGTTAGTTTTAGCTAACGCGCTGACATGAACTGATAGGTGCAGCTTAGCAGAGATATTTAGCAGTGCTGGTTTACGGTGTAGCAGTGTCACTGGATCCAGGTTTCTCCGAACGCCTCTGGCTCCTGCTGTCGCCTCCTAGCTATTTTAAGCTAGCTGAAACCGAGCCAGGGTCACCTCCAGGAATTGACCTCCCTTAGATTAACAAGTTCTGGGTGATTCGATCCCCGGCTGATTTACGGTGTGACACTACCCAGCAGGTCGGGGGTCAGGTAGCCGTCGGGCGTAGCTGGGATTTTGGGGCCCATCGGGTTGGGGGCCGGCGTTGATGTCAGCAGGAGGCTGTTCTGAATGTCCACACCTTCCACCACAGTGTAGACAGGAGCAGCGGGCAGCTGGGCCACGCACTCAGGAAGCTCTGCTAACCGCTTCGTTTCAGGGCTGCAGTCTCTCTGATCTGCGTTCACCAAGACGCCATCTTGTTTCTTACCCTTCTCCTCCTCCATGCTTGTCTCTTTAATGGTGGTTTTCTCCAGCAGAACGCTCCCAGACAACCCGACCTCGCCGACCTGCGTATACGCCGCCGCCTCCCTGCCCTCCGCAGCTACAAACGCAGAGCTTTGCTCCACGGCGGGTGCCTCCTGATGGACGGGCAACGTGCCGGCCTCGTTCAGCAGATCAGGTTCGCAGCAGCTGGAGCGGCCCGAGTCGTCGTCCCTGAAGCCAGTGGAGTGCGGAGACGACAGGGAGTGGTCCATCAGGCAGGCCGTGTCCACGTCCTGCAGCTTGTCGTTGGTCTCCTCAATGTCCAGGTCGATGAACTCCACCCAGGGGTCGTTGTTGTAGAGCTCTGGCCTGAGGTCCGGCGGGCCGGTGAGGATGGATGTGAGCTCTCGCAGTTTCCCTTTCTGGAACAAACACGGTTCAGACGCCCATGACTTCAAACAAAACCCAAAATAGACGTTTATATTTAAATTTCAACCTTGAATAGAAAGTAAAAAATTCCCATTTTAAATGTTTTTATGATTCCATTTGGGTCTTCCTGGCTTCTAAAAATCCAAAATGCTTAAAATAAACACTGAGATGTTTGTAGGTTCTGGGAAATGAGCTGTTTCAAAAACTTCCAGAATATAACGTCACAATATCAGGAAGCACTGCCCATCACCTAGCAACCCCATCACCTAGCAACCCCATCACCTAGCAACCACAGCAAAGTTCCGCCCATCACCTAGCAACCACAGCAGAGTTCCGCCCATCACCTAGCAACCCAACAATGGGTTATACAAAATATATTCATACATTTTTTTAACATAATCCTTCTTGAGTAACAAGATTTTTTTCCTGTCATTATAACATGATGAAATGTGGAAGTCATGTGGAAACTTGCCTTCAGTAGATTTGGGTCGATTCCTTGTATTTTCGGTCCAGGAACAGGAGGCAAGAGGATAAACATCAACCTGGAGCAGAAAACACCAGAAATCATTTCTTCTTCATTCTCTTGGTTCAAACTCAAATATTCTAATTCCGACAATCAGCTACTAACTTTTCCTGCTGTGAAACGATGACCAGCAGCAGGACGGCCACTAAAAACAACGATCCAAAGATGAGCAAAGCCATAACTGGGAATCTGGAAACTGAGGGACAAACAGTGTTAAATGAATGAATTGAAAAGGTTTTAGCACAGCTTCGTAAGCGTTTACCTTTAGATGGGATGTGGATGAACACAGAGTCGCTGAAGTCTCCATACTCCTTCCCTGCCAGCATTTTGCAGCGAACTCTGACCTCATACTTGACGTTGGTTTCAAGGCCGAACAGAGAGCGGTGCGTCGTTTTCACCGGGCGGTCTGAGGAGCACAAGGGGTTAAAAACTCAAGAGCAACGATTTAGTCGCTTCAGTTACTACGCCTACAAACCGGAAATCAAATCTGAGCTTCCAGAGTCACATAAAGACAGTTACAAAGTCAGCCTTCTGTCAGCTGAGGAACAATAATTGGATTTCACAACAAAATCTTTAGTTTTCTCTGTTTATTCATTTGTTGTTTTTATTAACAGCAGTTTGAATTATCAGCTTAACTTTGAGACAAACAGATTTGACTGATTGTTGGGTAACTGGCCTCTGCACACTAACGCAGTCGCCATGGCCACCCACCTGTTCCCAGCACTCGGCGCCGGCCTGGCGGTACTGGGCATCGTACTGCAGCGCTATCCATCCCGTCTCCACGTCGGCCGTCGCCGGAGGCCTCCAGCTCAGCATGGCGTCGAAGTGCGACCCGGTTAGGCTGACGTTCAACAGAGTCCAGTTGAGGCCGAACGGAGGGTCCGGTTGCACTGCAGAGCAGAAACACAGGGAAACTCAAACACGTTTCTCTGATTGATCCTAATTAATCAATACAGTGTAGATCAGTTTGCTATCCTAGTGCTGCGCTGTCAATCATAAGTTGGGTTTTTGAGGATTTCAGATATGAAATATTTCAGGTTTTCCACTTTATTAAATAACAGAAAAAAATGTAAAAAAATTTCATAGATTAGATAAAAAAATAAATATAAAGAGTGAAAACGGTCTTTAAAAGTTCAAATGAATGGATGGATGAACAGATTAATGAATGATTGAAGGAATGGGCCGGCGCAGTCTAAAGTCCGTCCCTAGCGGATGTGACCTTCATGTTTTAGATGTTTCCTGAATGAACTGCAACAGTTCTCTGGAGAACTGAAACAAACCCAGAAACACTTTCCAGAATTAAAACCAGTTGGACGTCATGTCTTCTGCAGAAGAATCTGCGTTCTGTCCCGCTAACAGGAGGAAGGTTTCTCCCCAGTGGAGTCCAGAAACCAATCTGGACCTTCCTACGTTTCTCTGCATCGCTGAACTCACAGATGTCTTCCAGGGAGAAGGAGATCTCGTCGTACAGGACGGCCCGGTCCCTGGAGCGCAGCTGGACCGTGTAGGACGTCCAGACTGTGGTGTGGTTCTCGTTGAAGAAGCACTCGTCTGGTCTCTCCGCGCTGTACTGGGGACATTCGCTCCAGTTTTTCTCTGAGGAGCCGAGAAGCCTGAAAGGGAAGGCAGAATTGTTTCATAAGAATTGTTGAGTTTTTCTTTATAAAATTGGAACTGCTCTGTCATTGTCAATCAACTTACATACTGTTGGAAGCTAATACTAAACATTATATACAGCGGAAGCTAATCGTAAAGCGCTAACATTACTTCTTCTGTAAAAAAAAGTCTAGATTTTTAGGTCTCCATTTAATTTCAAAATAAGAGCATGATAAACCAAAACTTCAGCAGTGATATCAAACTATATTAAACTGAAAGTTTACAAAACAGCCAAGTAAATTAGCGCTTTAGAATTAATATGAAAAAATTAATTAAGGGGAAGCTAAATGTGCGAAACGTTAGATAAAGCGCTAACTAACAATTAGCTCTGCTATTAGCGCAATAGCATCCCCACCACTGGATTTTTGTCTATAATTGATCTTCTGGTTTCAGTTGAAGTCACTTTACCATTATTCCAGCTGAAATAAATAATTATAAGCTAAACATTAACTTGTGTCTGTTTGGCTGATTTAAAGCAGCATCACTTTGACCCGCTGGTGGACTTTGCCTGATCAAAAGAGATAACTCTGCTCCGAATTTATCACAGTCAACCCTGAGTTAATAAATCTGAAGCACGTTTCCATGTTTTTAAAAAACCTTCCTGCATCTTTAAAGTGGAGGAAAATACAGGTTTATGGATTAGTGAAGACAATGTTTTCCTTACACTCTGTTGAAGAAGAAGAGACGTAAATCTTTTGGTTCTGAGAGGTTCTGGAAGGACCCGGCGCTCCACCTGCACAGGAAAGTCTCCATGTTGTGCGAGACGCAGCCGGTGAAATGCGGCCGCACTGAAGAGGAAAAGAAAATATGATTTACACATTTTATTAAAAACAATAGGAACTTCTTTTTCCTCTTTTTATTCCTGCATTTGAAGCAGTTTGAGCTGCGAAACAAAAAGGCCTTGGATATTTTTCATAACTCACTGATTGTTTCAGATCTGACATACTGTGTGGAAGCGTGGGCTAAACGTTATAAACATCAATAAATTCTTTTTTTTACTACAGGAGAGAGCAAAGAGTCATAAGATTTGATCAGTTAAACTTATTGAACCTCACGGAGTATATATGTTAAAATATATGCATAGAGCACAAACACAACCAAACAATATTAAAAACAAAACTGGAAAGATAAAAAAAATAGTTCTGACTTTAATCTTCAAAATTCTGAGAAACAAAAATCTGAATTCTGACAAAAATCTCAGTTCTTAGGAATAATTTGATAAAGTCAGGCTTATGAGAAAAATTATTAAATATCAGAATTATATTTCTATTATAAGCTCATACTTCTTTCATTCACTGTTTTGGTTTTTACATGAACTCCTGATACTTATGACTGAGTGAGTATAATAGATATAATAGATAAAATGGCGGTGAGCACTGAGCCGGCGGCGTTTTCCTGGAAATCCTGTTCCGTCTCACTGCAGGAGGAGTTTGCTCCTCCGCTGTCGTGGAATAATCTGTTTGTTCTTGCCGTACCGAGAAACGCGCTCACACAGAAACAGGCTCGGGTTTTACTGCCGCCACAAATTGAGAGCATGTGTGCCTGGAGCAGCTCTCTGTGGAGCAGCTACAGGCTGCAGGCCCAGCAAACGCCACATCTGGCAGAAAATGCAGAAATCACAACTTCCTGCTGTCTGTTCCGCAAAAGTAAATCATTCATATTCACTAAATGCACTTTGTTCATATAATACTGAAAAATTCAGCTGTTTTGTGTCTTTGCAGCTTCAGAATCCAAGCAAAAAAGATTTTAGAATAACGAGCAAAGAGCTTTGTTTGCATCAAAGTTGTGTATCTGCTGGTTGAAGCAGCCGAACAAAATAATTCAGTAAAAAAAAAAAAAATTCTTTTAAAATTCAAAATTATTCAGTTACTATAGGTGGTGAAAAATGCTAGCTTTGTATATCATTTTGTATAATTTTTACTGTCAACTGCTGTCAATCAATCACATGTACTTGCTGCTAAATTGCTGCTGGTGGAGAAACAATTACAGAAAAACTCTTTATCTGCTATCATCAGTGGCTATGCTAATTTATAACAAGTGCAGCAGAGAGCAGAGAAAGGAGGGTGATTGACAGCGCTAAGTCCCTCCTCCTGCCTCTGATTGGTTGATTCTAGTTAACACTAGGTGAAAACAGAGGAGTTACATTTTTACAGATTATACTGTCACAATATAGTGGCAGCTTCAACAAATATGTAACAAATATTTTCATAAAAGTTACACACTACAGATTTAAGGTCACATTTTGCTTTGTTTCATTTTAATGTTACATGTTTTGCTGACAAGGTAAGAAAATCAAGAATTTGCTAGTTTTTTTTTTCTCTCTTTTGACTCTATGATTTTGGACAAAAAGTTTGGACGCCCCAGCTTGAACCGCAGCATTCCTCACTCTGCTGGTGAAAACAGAGAAAATCACCTGCAGGCCATCAGCAGCTCAATGGCTCACAAGTCCAGACTGGCTGAGCGCCGTTTCCCTGTGACAATAATGATGATGATGATGATGGTGGCGATGCATGCTGTACTTTTGGCCCACTTCAGAGAACAAGAGTCAGGGGTTAAAAATAACCTGTTTACCAGATAACCGGCTCCTCCTCCTGTTCAGGGCCGAGCTTCGTCAGGATTAGGAGAAAAATGTGACACCCAGCTATGTGGTCAGAAAAACTCAGTGGGGGAGGAGAGAAGATGTGGGTTAGACCGGGCCGACCCACTAACCTGCGACTGCAGGTTCCACCAACTGAAACTTAACACCTTGACATCCAAGATGAATGAAATATAATAACTTTATCTCCACAAATATGCATAAATGGCGTCCAGCAAACTGCTTATAAATTTACACTTACTCAAGCTAGCTCACTAACTAGCTAGCTAGTATGTTAGCAGCTAGTTAGTGGTATTATCAGTTATGATGGGTTACTGCAGATAGAAAAGTGTCTACCAAAATGAATTAATAAAAAGAAAAACATTTTTAGCTCTATAAGTTGAAAATCTGGAGTGTGGGTTTTCTTTTCAGCAAACAACCCGAGGCTCCTATACTTTGCTAGTTTTTTGGATGGAGGGTGATTTGTTGGATGGACGAACAGACAGATAAACAAGCGAATAAATGGATGAAGAAAATTACCAAAGTCGAAAATGTTTTACTTCTGAAAGTCTGAAATATCCAAGTCTAGCAAACTTGAGCTTAATATTATTCAGGGATGTGTTACCAGCTAGTTAGCGGTAGCCTGAACCGTCTCCAAACAGAATGAAGACGAATGAGTCTCAAACTTTTGGCTGGCAGAAAACCCCCGCGAGAAAAAAAACAAACAAAAAAAAAAACATAGATTACTTTAAATAGACCTGTAAAAACTGAGTTTCAGAAATTGACTAAACATTCTAAAGGCTAACTTACTTTTTTCCATTAAGACTTATTTTTTATATCAGGAACAAGCTAGCGGTAGCCTCAACCGGCCGGAGTCACATAACATAAAGAGCGCGACTGACAATTTAAACTGACAGAAAATTCCCACAAAAAACAAATATAGAATAAATACGATTATAAATATTATTATCGAAACATAATTTAAGAAAATGTATTAACATATTAAAGGCCAACTTAATGTTATTTCTTCATTAATAACTCTTTTGTATGTTAGCAACATGTTAGCGGTAGCCTCAGCCGTCTGGAGTCAGGACGTCAAGATGTGTTGAGTGTGTCTGAAAATTTCGCCTGAAAGAAAATCCCCGCGAGAAAAAAAAAATATATATATATTATAGTCTTTTCAAAACAGAATTTAAGAAATTGTCTTAATTTAAGGGGTGTTTCTTTTATCTATTTATTTGTTTAATGAGACTTATAAAGAAGTGGTCGGACATTTCAGGATGCGCCGCGGACACCCGACTCTCCCCCGCCTTTCAGGACCGTCAACTTGAGCGTGTCTGTGTTTGCTCAGCGGCTATCAGGCACAGTTCACCCAGCTGAGGGTAAACACCACGGAGCGGCACGTCCCCTGCTCCTCACGCTGGGATTACCTCCCGGATGGGAACGTCACCTCAGGCCGTGTTCCCGTCACACACAAAAAGCCGATGGCGGAGCCGTCACCAGATCTGCAGTAAACATGTTTACGCCTTGATTTATTCCCTTAAAGCTGTCAGCGATCTATTTCAGGGCGCAGCATAACATCCTGCATGCTTTCCATAAATCCAGATGAGCTTCCTGTCCACTGAGGCGCAGGAAACATTCTGCTGTTGGACAAAGTCATTCATTAATTATCAGGCGGGACGCGGCGTACTGGCCGGCCGCTCCGTGTTAATTAAGGCCCGTGGGAAGCCGCCATTATGCTTTCCACGGGGCCAACAGGTCATTCAGTCAGTGCGCTCCTGCAGGGTTGGACGGGTTGTTTGCTGTCAAAATTGGGTCTGGTTCTGGTCAGAATACCAACATTGTTTTAAATCAGTGGGGCCCAAAGTGGAGGGCCACATGCTGCGTGTTTTAGTTTAATACACCTGGATCAAATGATGGCTCATTAGAGGAGAACATGGACTTGCTGAAATAGTTATTACCACCATGGAGAGGCGCGGGGTACTGTTTTAAATCGTCACTAGTTTATAAATGCAGTCGATGACCTAAAGCATAAATTACATTTTTTATATCCGAGTATTAGAGTCACTCAAAGAAAATAACAAAACATGGAATCATAAGAAAAAAAGTGGAAATAATACAAGATTAAAGGCATAAAATTAAAATAGTAAAATATTATTATTGGAATGAAGCCACGTGATAATAGAGTTTAAATAATACAAGAATAAAGTCATAAAATTACCAAAATAAATTATTCTGTTATAATGTTACTTTTTATTTATTATTATTATGTTTCTAATACTCCAACGTAAATATAAATCCAGGGCTGTTGATGTGAGTTTCCTTAAAGGCTGAGATTTGTTGGGTTTGGTCTGGAAACTGTCGGTCCGATCTGGCAACCCTGCGTCGCCCTCCAGGGAGAAAACCTGGACCTGATGAGCTGCAGAATCTGCTTCCTGCGCCGGATCGACTCAGCAGAACAAACCTCATAAATATCTGGAAATCCTTGTTTTTCCTGGCAGCCTGGACCCCTCTGTCCTTTTCCCCTCCATTTCAAATCAATCCTGCTGATGTTTGTCCCCCAAACGGAGTTAAATCGAAGCCGTTCTAATGAGGTGAAAGTGTCAGGCAGGAAGCCATGAGGGACGCCAACAAAACGGGACTGAGGAAAGGAAAACAGCAGGAGCAGACGGGCCTACAAGTCCAAACAAAGCCTGAATCTGACCGCCGTGCTGGGAAAACTCGGTCGGAGCAGAACCTCTGAGGGCTTTGACATGGCTGGAAAAGTGGAGCTATTTTAGTCGACTCATTACTTAAAAATGTCCTGCAGTGAACTCTGCAGCATGGAAAACTGGAGTCTGCTCCAAAAAACCTCACTTTCCTATTTTTATTCATTTCTTTTCTGTTTTTAATCTCATTTTGTGGCTTTTATGTGTCTGAGCTTTTAGTTTATTTTCATGTTTTTGGCTTTGAAGGCAAGAAAAAAGCTCAAATTAAAAACATTTCTTCCAATATATATGTTTTGAAAATACACAAAATACATTTTATTAACCCTTTAACTCTCAGCCCTAAATCACTATAAGAGTTGAAAATGTTTCTAAATGAATCAGCTGCTGCTGTTGAACTGTTTTGCATCCAGGCAGAAGCCTGGTCTCTTTCTGAACATCACAAGATAAATTTTCTATTTTTGGACAACATCTGATACACAAACTTCAAATGACAGTAACTGCTCAGACATGCAGTCGTCAATGCGTTGCGGATGGATCAGTTATTAGTGGTTATAGATCACCTGCTGACCAGTCAGTGGTGATGGGGGACGTTTTGCTGTCGGCTTTAAGCTTCAATGTTTTTGTCTCTGATCGCTGTTTAAACAGGTTAATCTGGTTTTATGCTGATTTTGGACACAAATATCTGTTATCCACTGATGTTCTGGATTTTTGATGATATTGAGGAAAATAAAAACGTTTTAACTGCAGCTTGGATTTAAGTTTTGATCAGCATCAATAATGATTCCCTATTGATCAGCGACTTTGTTTGAGTCGCTAATCATTTGGTAAACAAAACATTACTGATATCAATAAATATTATATCTGGGGTTAGCGTACTAGCGTAATATTTAGACTTTGATGAATGTGTGAATACTGAACGTTTTAATTGGTCCAACATGCCTGAATCAGCCGTTCATCAAACATGTCTGACTTTTTGCTTCTCCAACCAACAATCTGCTGGATCTCGATTTGCTGTCGTAGAAAAGTCATTTCAGTTTCAACCAAAAGTAACAAACCATAAAAACCGAACCCAGCGGGACAGCGCTACGCCGTTACGCAACCAAACCCGCTTCCAGATGTCCAACCCGGCGCTGAACACTCACTGCAGACCTCAGCTGAAATGTGAGTCATGTGTGAAGCGTCTTTCTGCTGGACCCAAACCGGACCCTTCACACTAAACAGCTTCCCATTGTTTTCCCTCTCTGCAGAATTCCTGGTAAGCCACTTCACCAGAAACCCGCCGGCTCTCTGCGGAGGTTGTGCAACACGCATTGTGCTGCGAGGCTGCACAGTTCTGACTGACCTCAACAGACGATTTGTCCCGAAAACCCATGGAATAATCAGAAACCGTTGGGACCCGGAACACGGGAGCCGTACCTGCATCAGGCTCCGACTGGAGGCCGAAGACGTGGAGGAAGAGGAGCAGCAGCGCGAGCGCTACAGACGTCATGTTGAGCTGCGATGGAAACATTAACACAAAATTAGTCGGTTCCACCCAGAAAAGCCGCAGAGATCCAACCCTGAAGAACCACCAGGCTCCCGCCCAGAGTTCTGCACATAAATAACGTTTAATCAATCCCTGATGTGTTCGGGGATTTCAGGATTTATTGGCAACATTCTGTCTCCAACACAACAAACAACAGAGTTTAGCATTTTGGTGGATTAACAAGCGACTCAGTGAAGCTTCAATAGACCTTAGATTAAAACACCACAGACCGTCAGGTACGGTGGTGGCAGCGTCATGCTGGGGGACAGCAACCAAAATTTGAGATGATATGAAATAGGTCAAAACTATTCAACCGTTTCTGATGTTTTTCCATTTGATTGTTTTTACAATTCACTTATAATTAAATTAGTTTTTTTTCTCTAATGTCAAAATAAAAACTGACTTCTGCAGAATAATCCAAATGAAATTAAAATGTTTTATATAGAACAAGTGAGTCTTTTGTCATTTTTTAGAAATTATTTTAAACATAGACGTTAAAGTTGTTTGTTTTTTTTGTCAAATTATTTTGCCCCCCCAAAGAAATACTTTTGCATTTTATCCTCTTTGACAGAAAAGCTTCCAGTTGATTTTTTTGGAAGGTGAATGAATCGATTCTCTCATTTGCTTTATATTTTCTGTATTTAGCAACATTCTATAAATTAATTAAAAGCAGAAAAGTTTGTTTTTGAGTGTAAATCATATCTAATAAGAAATTAGTGAGAATGTAAAATTTCTGCTTATTAAAAAAGACGAATAGTTGTCTGTGTAGTTCGGGCCGCACACAAACAGTCTGGGGGCCACAGTTGGCCCCTGCGCCGCACTATGAACACCCCTGGCTCAGTGTAAATATTTATTTTTCTGGCAGCTTCCATTCTTACAGTCAAAAATATTGTAATGAAACAGTTTGTTGATAGTAGTCGGCTTTAAACACAAGAGGTTTCACTTTTATTTCCAGAAGTTTGGTCACGGAGGATTGAAAGTCAACCAGGAGCGACGGGAACGCCGAGCCGCTCCCATTGGCTCCCTGCCCGGCAGCTAATTGGTTTCTCAGAAATAACGACATCTAATCTTTGAGTAAAGACGACTAACAGGCGGGTTTAGTCACCAGCTTCAGTCCTAGAAAGAGACATTTATCTGTCTTTCCAGGAAGACGCAGCTGAGTTATGGCTGGGATCAGAACGGCCTAGTCCAAACAACAGTTCAGGGTCACGCCACTCCCCAAAAGTTGCAAAATCCATCAGCGCTCATTTCTGAGTTTTTTTTTTTCCTTTTCTGGAACATTTCTGAATGATTTGCTTTTCAAACCGAGGTTCTGATTTCGCCTCAAAGTCAGGAATTAATCTCTTAAATCCTCTTTAATGATCACATGGAGCCTTTAATGAAGCTTCACGTTCAGCATGGTTCAGTCATGCTGCACTTGCATTGGCGTATTTCAACTGTTTTATCCCCAGGGAGAAATTATTAAATATCACTTCAGTTAGAACCAAACAAACCATAAAGTCGATCTGTGAAGCAAAACTCACATTTTGCACATTGTTGTCATTTTGTTTTGTGTCTTGAAAACGAGCGGTTTCAAAAACCTCTTGAATTAACATCCCAACCCAAATTGAGCTCCAGCTCATTTATACAGCTGGTTTTACTGCTGCATACGCTGAACAACGGCTGCTGGAAAAGACAAGTGTTCTGCTGTTGACTTGCCATCCAGAAACCACTTGCTGCATTCTTTCTGGTTGTGCAGGAGGCTCTCTTAATGCTTTTCAAAGATGTTCAGTTGTGCATCTAGCCATTTTCATGTAGGTGTAAATGTTGAGTTCATGGCAGATTATTTAGATTTCAGCTGACTCGACGGCCTAAATGAGCTAAAATCTCATCTAAGAATGATTTTGTGCAAAAACTGTACCGACATGTTTTGTATAGACCACATATCCAAACCTGTTCAAGAAAGCAAGATAAGTCACATTTAATTCTCATTATCTGACATTAGATCAACTTTTTCAGGACATTAAGCAGCAAACAATTCCACTAATCTGATCTGCTAATAGCGACGCAAATTTTTTGTTTTGCTAGCTTTGAAAACGTGCTTCCATCTGTGAAACAATGTGATGGTTTCTCATCGCCACGCCACACATTCCTTGATTGAAATGATTATTTCTAACTGTTATCTATTCATTTTGCAACTTATTTAATAAAATGCCAGTTTTCTTGGGAAAAACATGACATTTTGGGTGTTGGTCTGCAGTTTCTTGGGATTTTCTGCCCCTCCTGTTCTGAGTATTAATCGGCTCAGTAGCTATTTGGAAAGGCATACCTCGTCTTCATGCCTGGAGGTCCATTTCCAGTTTGTTCATTACGTCAACCAGTTGGAAGCTCCATTTTATCAATGTTCAGAGCAAAGTGCTGGCATATCCATGTTCTCTCTTATCTCCCAGACCGCGACCATGTAAGGAGTTCAGGGTCTTATTGCCTCCTTTCTTATTGTCTCCTTTCACAGAAACGCTGCGTTTTCAGCTACAAGGTGCAAACTGTGCTGGGGGAAAACAGCAACATGATCCCAGTGGAGCCTTCATTGCAAATGCTGACAGCATCGCGGAGTCGCGAGAAACATGTTTGTTTTTGCACGATATCCAGAGCTCTGTCTGTGAAATGTTTCATTTTGTGCTACTTCTTAAAATCTAGATGTGTTTTCTGGTTAAATAAGGTCAAGTAACCAAAATAATTCACTAAAACAAAGATAGATTTGCCTTAATGTTGTTAAATTAAAACAATAATCCAGATTTTCCACTTATTAAGGTGGATGCATTTACCTGTATGTTTAATTTTCATCCTCATATTTGATTTAAGGTTTTTAAAGAATGAAATAAATGTGAGTTTGTGCTTCCATCTCTTGCTTTAAGTTAATTTATGTTTGTTAAACGTTTATTTTCCCCTGTAGTTAACCAGGCAAAGCACATATATAACATAATATGCTGTAAATATTAGGAATAAAATCACTGATGCTTGACAGAATGTCACTTTCTAGTAAGATGTGAATTCAAAAGGAAAACTGTGGAAATGTGGAAGGAATAAAACAGAAAATAACAACCAATCAGTGCATTTAGCAGTTAAATCTGCCCACTTGTTTACAGTTTTAATGTCCAACTTTTTCCCTGTTTTCAGCCTGATTTCTAGGAAATGTGGAAATAAATCAGCATGAAGCTGCAGCATAAAGCGCGTTGAGAAACTTAAAGGTTGTTTTGAGGGGCGCAGAGGAAGATCCTGCTGCTTACCTTGCGCACCAGCCTGCAGGTCTGACCCCAGAAAAGCGCCCCGTTCCGCGGCTCCGCTGCTCCGCGCCCGGTCCCGGAGCTCCCGCGGGTTCCTCGGGACACAAACCGACACAACGGCGACACAAACACGGACTTCAACTCCCGAGTCGATGCGTTGAGAGCAGCAGGAGGAGGAGGTTCAGACAGCAGCTGCGCTCCCGCTGAGCGACGGAGACAGAGTGTCGATCTGCGGCGCTGCAGCCGCGATAAATACAGAGTGGCGCCATCTGCTGGTGGAGTCTGGGGACAGCAGGGGAAACAAGGACAAGAGGACTACATTGCTGCCAAAAACTCAGAAATTTAGAGACTAATCTCATACATTTTCTGACAAAAAAAGAATAAATAAAGCTAGAAAATGTATGATTTTGAAAAGTAAAAAACAAAATTGCTAAAAAAAAATAAAAAAAAGACTGCTGGAAAAGACAAGTGATGACTTACCATCAAGTCATCTCAAAGGTATTTTTTTAACTCATGGGAAAAAATAATTCTAGCAAATTTTCGAATTTTCAAATTCTAAATTTCTGAGTTGTCAGAAATGAACCTACAGAGGCCCTGCTATCTATTTTTCACACATTTCAAAACACCAAAACAAAATAGTCGAAACCGAAGAAACATTTTGAAGTTAAATGTAAAATCTTCATTTTGAATCAGAGAAAAACGTGAAAAAGTTTAATTCACTTTAATTGTTTTTTTTTATTCGAGTATCAGATTTTTTTTTTTAATTTTCAGTTATTTTCTTTAAGTTTCATGTTACTATTTTTTATGAATGGAAGTTTATTACCACCATGAATGAAAATAAGTTTTATTTACAATAAAATCCCAAGAATGAAAGTCTTAATTATAAAAATAAGTCATTGTTTTCAGTTTTAAAGTCATTTTTACAAACCGAAGTACATTTTGAGTTTTACAGTCATAATAATGAGAATAAATGTAATAAAGTAAAACCATTTTTGACCGTTTCCACGATGATGATTCCCTGTTATTCTCTAGATCAGGAGATGCTGTGTTTGTTTCTGAGACCTTAACCTACTTCATGCTGTCAGTCAGTATCTGTCCAAGTCATTTCTTCATACTGCTGTCTGGAAGCATTCAGACCTGGTTGGTGACATTGAATAACAAAATATAACTAATCCCAGAAAATTCATTATCAATCCCACCTTTAATTACTTTTTCACATACAACCAAGTTGATTTGAAAAGATCTGAGCCTTAATAAATACTATTTTAATTAGAAAACACTGAAAAACCTTTTGGATGTGAAAAATTCAGCCTTGTGTTTCCTTCAAGCTGAGGAAGTTCTTAGTCCAACCACCAGGTGGCGAGCTCAGTAAGATTGTTTATTACAGTTTATTCATTTTAAAACAACCAATAAAACTAATCGCCTCTTCTCTCAGTCGATTCCTTCATGTATTTTACGATCAGAGCAAACAGAATAAATAAACTGCAGTACTGGACATAAATTTGTCCCAAATAAAACCTCCTGCAGATTAAATAAATCCAGATTATGAGTCATTTGAGAAGCAATGAAAAATGCAGGTCAGTTTGGTCCTGGTTGTTCAGGCCAAACGTTTCTTCACTCAGGAAACTCCTGAACTCAGGGGAGTGTTGAGAAATGCAGCTCCAGTAAATAACCCTGATCGTTACAGAGCTGGAGCAGAAAGGAGAAACTCTGAGCAGAACAGCATGAAGGTAAAACCAGAAAATCCACCATTTAAAATACGATCCAACACTAAGAAATCACATTTCAACCCAAACGAACCTTCTGTTTACAGCTGTTTCTACGTTAGCGCTGTCTCTGACTCTGCTGCCACCAGTTTGGTAAGAGTGACGCGTTTTACTATTGTTTTAATAACTGCTGTATATTTTAGAGCTGTATTTTTATTAATTATCATTTCTTCAGTTGTCAGCAGAGAGTAAACTGCAGATGGGGTCCATATGGAGGCTGGTCTGAGTGCGACGGCTGCTCCCGTACAAAGGTAACCAAACCACACTTTGAGCCATGAAGGTTTTACTGATTTACAGAGGGGAGAAATACATTTATTCATTCTATAGGGTTTGCGTAAATAAAGTAGAAAATAGTGTTAGTTTAATTTCTTTTATATTATGTTGTTCTGCACAGTTTTAATTTTATTTTATCCACTATATTTATCTCACCTTCCCAGTTATTTATTGTCCTTTAGCTCATTACATCCTCTTTTAACTTAGTTTATATTTTAGATTTCCAAATCCTATTTTTTAACATTTTATTGAAATTTAACCTATTTATTTTATCCCAAGTTATTTTTGCTTTCCCCATCTCATCTTATTTTAGCTAACTTTGGTGTATTTTTACTTTACCTTAGCTTACCAGGTGTTAGCATGTCTGATTTTAATAGCCAATTTTATTGAATCTTGATTTCATTCCCTTTAGTTTAGCAAAGGTTTTACTAATGTTCAATACAGAAACTATGAGAATTATATTTATTTTAGCTTAATTGATCTTATCTTTGATATTACATAGATGGCAAATGTTTTATTTTACATCTCTGTGTTGACCCAGATCATTAATCTCATTGGTTGTGTAATCTTTTGATCATATTTGACCAGGAACAGCAACACCGCTGACTTTTGGCACCGTTTTCAGGCCGTACTCTAAAGCCAAACAGGGCAGAGTTCGAATGAAGCAACATTTCTTTTCTCTACAGTCTGTCAATATTTCAGGGAGTTTGATATTTATTTCTCCAGTCAAGTGCAAGCAAGTTCAATTCATGCGAGATGGAGTTAAACTCTTTATTATTATCATTATTATTATCATTATTATTATTATTATTATCATTATTATTATTGTCAACTGGAACATGTAAACATTCAAATAGTTTTATATTTACATTTGGTTCTCAACTGTTTCTAAAAACAGAGTTTAAAAGCAGAACATCTCGACGTTTTTTTGTAATTATTTTTTTTCAAAACTTTCCGAATGTAACGTCACAAAACAGCAGGTTGCCTAGCAACCCCAGCCCGTCACCTAGCAACCCCCTGGAGCTCCACCCGTCACCTAGCAACCGAACTGACAGACTACAGTCGCATCATCCAAGAATAAAAATAAAGTAATGAACATGTTTCAGTCAACAGGGGCGACCACACTTTCATCACACGGGAAAAAATAATCAATTCAAAAGTAAGAGAGAGAAAAAGATTAAAGAAAAATACTCAACAATAAACTAAGTTACAATACTTTCATTAAATGAGTAAAATAGTCTTTGATTGGAAAGAGGAGTGTCAATTATTATGACTTTCATTATCAATAAAAGAAGAAGTCCTCTTTGTGAATTTTTAAATGTATCCACTGAAATTGATGCAAGTTTTGTTAATTGAGCAATAAAAATAAGATTTATTGAAAACTATGTAACAATGTTTTCATTAAAAGTCAATGTGGGTCCGTCAAAGCTTGGATAGATGCTGTCAGTCTGAGTATTGAATACTTTGTGATATACACACATTTTTTCCTGTCATAATTTTTAAAAAGTCTAATTAAACTGGTATAATCTTAAATTAACGAATTCAGTCCAAACTTTAAACTTTAAGGTTTTCAGAAACCTCTTCAAGTAGTAAAATACGTCCCCTTTAGTTTATCAATTCTCTGTATTTAACATCTTTCCTCTGTTTTCCAGGTGCGGACGCGTCGTGTGGAGGTGTTCGCTCAGTTTGGAGGGGCGCCATGTTCAGGAGGAGCCGCAGAAACGCAGACATGCGTCCCACAGAAGACGTGTCCCCTGGAAACAGGGTGTGGCAGCAGGTTCCGCTGCGCCTCTGGTACGCCAAGATCCAAAGTCAATAACCTAACGTATCGACCAAAGTTATTATAATAACTAAAACTAACAAAATAACAAAAACTGTAACTGAAAAAACATTTTTGTTAACAGGATTAAATTAAAACCGTAAGTAATCAAAACTAAACAATATTGAGGTGATAAAAAGTGGAAAAAACTAAGAATTAGCAAAAAACAAAAAAAGAAACAATGAAATAAGCCTAGAGAATAATGTGCAGTTGGTGTTCTGATGCAGGCCAGTGTATCAGCCAATCTCTGGTTTGCAACGGAGACCAGGACTGTGAGGACGGTCTGGACGAGCGAAGCTGCCAAGACAACAGCCAATACTCATGTGATCTTATGAAAACGCCACCGAACGCCGACCTCACAGGCAAAGGGTGGGAACCTCGATGTTTCTGAATAATGTGGCCACAGGTTAGGTCACTGAAAGCATTTCTTTCTCAGATTCGACGTTCTGACGGGGAAGCTGAAAGCCGGTGTGATCAACACGTTGAGTTTCGGAGGACAGTGCCGGAAGGTTTTCAGCGGGAGCCACAAAGTGATGTACAGGCTCTGCCACAGAACATCCTCAGGTTCAACTTTGAGGTGAGTAACTGAAAAAACTGGTGGGAGTTGAACAGCTTGATCTGGTCCAAACTGGAAACAGCACAGCCAACAGGTTACATCCAATCTGTGTGCCGAGAAAATCCAGTTGGTTTGGGGAGATGAGAATATGTAATCGAACCAAAAGGGTCAACTCTGTCTCGGTTTGGTTGAAGTGAACTCCGGTGAGGTCCGTATGTGAATATGAACGGCGAACCGAAAATGTAACAAATGTTGGAGTTTTGGTTCCTAATCAATCTTCGTCTGCTGAACTATCAAAACATCGTTAATGGAGTTGAGAATATCCGTTTGTGTTGCAGGTCCATGTAGACAACGAGGAAAGTGACGAGTCCTATGAGAGCGCCTGGTCCTACGCTCAGCACATCCAGTCCAACGCCTGGGTCGGACATGACCGTCGGACGTTCCACAAAGAAGTCACAGACAATAAGGTGACTGATGGCCATACCTGATGCATGGTGAACCCTTGAATCTTTGGGTTTGTGTGTCCTACAGAATCCCTTCCCGATGTTTCCTGGTGTGTTTCAGGCTTACCGACTTCTAATCCTGAAGAACAGAGTGGAGTTGGCCCAGTTTCAGAACTCTGCCCCAGTATCTGACTCTCTCTGCAGATTTCTGGAAGGCCTTGTCTTCGCTGCCCCTGACCTACGACTACTCCGCCTACCGCCAACTGCTACAGACCTACGGCACACACTACATGTCTGAGGGGTCACTTGGTGGCGAATACCAAGGCTTGTTGGAGTTTGACTTTCAGGCCCACACATCCCACAG